CGCGCTCCCGTCATCTCGACAGCTTCATGGAAGGTCTCAGCTGTTTCAGATCAGGCTTTTGCGAGTCTTAGCCTTACAACAATATCAAACAGGTCTTTTCTTTGACGTGACATAACCAACAACCAAGAGCTCAAACAAAACCAGAAACAGAAAACGTAATCACGAGAAGGAGACACACTGGCGAAAATGTGGCTGAACATTTACACTGTTTCGGGGGTATCTACATCGACATCAAACCTGACGTACACACGTTTCTAATCCTAGCATAGCTTTGTGATGTAAAGGTCACTCTGTACAATGGCTAAATACGGCAAGCTCCTCTTCTAAAAGATGCCAACATGTGTAAAAATGTCCTTTTTGCAAGCTCTGATCAAGGTGATGATCGTGGCGAGGTAAGGCAATATGCGCTCAGCCATTTTGCCCTGCGGCAAAGCAGGAGAATGACAGCTGGCAGCAGGGGTGTGGATTAGGTTTCCCCGTCGGGGCTACTGCATCTTTTACACCGCCCCGCTGCTCGGGAGTAGAATGGTGCTATAGTAACCCGATTCCCTTGCGCGCTCATGCAATCTCGTCTCAGCCCTCGATGGGGTTAAACAGAAGAAAGGATGGGCAAAACGTCTTACTCATCGCCGTCACCTTCCATCTGGATATCCTGCACACCATCTCGAAACAAACCTTTCAACTCGACCGCAGGCAACAGAGTGAGAATAAAGTCAGTGTGGTCCTGCGTTTCACTCATTTAAACAGTCACTTTGAAAACCTTTTTCCCCCTCAAAAAAGCTATTCCAAACACTTGCCAGACTTCATCAAATCTTGTGTGTTTTTGTCAGAATCACAACCTTGCTTTACGAAAAGCTCCACATACAAAAAATGTAACACTGGTGAGCCATTTTTAGACAGGGTCCGCGGGGGGTGGGGGGTGGGGCAAACTGGTACCTGCATACACCTGGATGGATGGATGGATGAATATACTTTATCAATCTGATGAGAGAATTAAGTCAAGATAAAACCAGTTAACCAATGCGTCAGCCACTGTAGACGTGCTAAGGATGGCCTTGCCCCGTCTCATCTTTCTGTCTGCTCAGTCTGTACCCATCCCCCAACCCCTGTCCCCTGTCCAGCCCCCTGACCCAATCTCTATGATTAAATCATTTTTCTTTAGCCCAAATTTGGTCCCCCTCCCTGACCCCCCCCCCACACACACACACACACACACAAACACACCCTACTCCCACCATCCCAAGCCTCCCCGCTCTCCTTCTCTCTCTCTCGTCTGGTAGATGGCGCGCACCCTCCTCTATTGATCGTCATGCTGAGGAGATTACCCTAATAGCTGGGATTACCTCCCCACATGTTGGGTTGGCCACATACGGCAGGGTGGGGCGGGGAGAGGAGCACAGCGGATGGAAAAAGGAGGAAGCAAGTGGAATTTTGAGCTTGTTTCGCAGAATGAAAAAAAAAATTATTGGAATGCCGAAATAAAGGTTATAGAACACATCTGTAATTAGCTTACTACATAGGTTGATGGGCATTGAAGGCTCAACTGCTACGCCAATTTGTATTCCATTGCAAACCAAAACAGCAGCACGAAACAATTAACCGATGAATGAAAAGTGGGGCAATTTACACATTAAAGATGATTCAACGCAATACAGAGATGGTGTCTTTTGTGATGATTCGCATTCCAACAGACTTTGTAGTCAATTGACTTGGCCGGCCATTTTATTTTGTGCAAAAACTAACAAGTTCAAACAAAGTCAAAGACAAGGGAGATTGAAAAATTTTGCATCCACTGTCTCAAGAAATTAATCAACGATCCCACAATGATCAAGGGAATATTTAGACTATTCCTAATCCCCAAAAGGATTGGAGATGTGTATCTATGCAGTCATAAATTTGTGTCCTTCGGTCGTTTTAAATGACATTTTTATTAGACTCCATTTCTTCGAGACATGATTAACCAAAAATGATGATTAATCAAAAATCCCATTTAAAACGATAGAATGATTTAAAAAAAGATTGACAGACATAGCGTGTAGCCGTAGAGGGACTGCATTTTGCCTCCATTGCTTCAAGATCAATCAACAATTCCAAATGGATTCCAAAATTTTGGGAGGGATAACTGGACATGATCGCTGCACCTGTTGTGAACCTTTTTGTCACCATGTGCTATGATGTAATGTACTTTATTATGTCAATACGCAACTAGATCACCACGTACTGTTTGTTGTATTTGTATTTGCTTTTATTTTGCTTTGTTTTCCTGTAGTCAGGTCGAATCTGCATTGCAAATGAGAACCTGTTCTCAATTGCCTTACCTGGTTCAATAAAGGCATTCACATAGCATTCATCAACAACCCCACAATGATCAAAGCTTTATGTCTATTCCTAGTCCCCAAAATGTCTTAACACATCTACAATTGAGCCAAACAAACTGATGACTTGACCACAGTTGTTTAACTATATTTTCTATGTAGCATCCACCGTATTTATTTATTTCTGTATTTGATTTTTTATTTGATTTTTTTTTTAATCATTTTGGCTGCTCCCCAGGCCCAATAGTGCTACATTTCGATGGCCCTTCTGTCCTGTTCGCTAATCCCTATTTAAGACTGTGGAAACTACTAGCACGACGCATCATTGCTGGGTTTCCCCCAAAGCAAGATGCATTTCAGCACATTTGACTTTCAAGAGGGGCTTTCATGAAGATGTCTGAAAGAGATGCAAGAGCGATAGAAGGGGGGGGGGGTGTTGAAACAAGAAATGCCCGTTAATCCGCCGCTGATCCGCCACAATGGTAGCCTTGTTTGCGCCAACTTTGTTGATAAAATGAACATGGACGGGACGAGGTGAAAGCGAGAAAACAGTGGAAGTCAGGAGGAGAGGGTGAGGAGGGGGATAGCCGGCGGAGCTAGTTGTCCCGGGACAAGGAAAAAAAAGTGACAAGTAGCGAACTCCGAATTAGAGTCGTACTCAAGTATTCTTACCTCGCTCGGAGGGCAGAAGGCGGAGGAATCCCATCACTACTCGGTTCACAATGGCGACATACTTGCTGCTCTCGCAACTTTGTCGCCGCAGCCGTCGAAATCACGGCCCGGGTGGGTGCACCTGTGCCCGCCACGTTCCCTCGAAGCCAGCGGTGGTGGTGGTGGTGCGGGTGTTGGGTGCCGTCTCGTTCCTGGAGGCGAGTGACGCGAGAGATAACGTTAATAACGTTAATAACAGGAGCGGTTGAGCATCTCCGCCTGGTGGCCGCGTACGTACGTGGGCGCGTGCGCGCATCCACGCACGCGCCAAGCACCCAGCAAGTAGACGGCGCCGATGGTCCTGAAGGTGAAGTGAGGCGATCAAACTCGCGCCTTAATTTATATTCAACTTGTTTTAGACGAAGATCAATAAAGGAGAAACAGTGCAAATATATATATATATATATATATATATATATCCCATATATGTATTCCACAGCACCAGACACTTTAAAGATCTCAAGGACTTCTGTACAATTTCTGTACAAATTCTTAATATTATCAAAACTGAGTCTCTTTTTAATCCGGAAAATGGGAATAATGGTGACAAGGTGAATAGAAAATGGCACCTGGATGACAAATTTAACTCTACGAGATGATCATTAAATCCAGCAGATGGCGCCAGGATGAAAATTAATTCATTTACAAACGTACAATTATCTTAATAGAGGTTTACATGACAGAAGGTAAAAAAGTTAAAATGAAAAAAGCAATGCAATAATTTGAACCAATGGGTCATAGTTTTACTTTATTTTCATGTCAATTTTTGTAATAAACTTGCATCAATCTTAAAACACACACATTGTCATGATGGCCTGCTTTGTTTAGAAGTGATTTCATCCATTTTAGAATTAGCCTGTAATGTACATGACATGGGAAAAGTGAACCCATGTGAATCAACGTTTTGGGGACTGAACTGTAGCATCTGACAGGCGGTTTGCAGGGTGCACTTTATGGAAAGGGATTTGTTGTTTTGTTTTTTTGACAAGGTGCCATTGATCAATGTGGCCAACACCAGCGTCTTCTTCCGCCCGTTGCCACCTAATTTCATTTGGTCAGTCATCGCTGATGTTGTTTCCACTATCAACGACTGGTAACGATGACTCATTGCAACCACCCCGGCTAACCCTGTTGTATAAATAGAGAATAACTGATTGCCCCGTACTAATATAGAGATTTCATTTTATTTTTGAAACCCTAAAATTATAATACAATTAAAGTGCAATATTTACGCAGCAAATATGAAACCCATAGTTTGGAAAACCCTAATGGAAGTGATCTGTTATCAATTAATCCAAATACAAGAAATGATCCCAGTCCCAACTTTGAGTGCATCCTTGAGTGGATTTTAAAAGTTTGGGGACAAGGATGCTTGAAACATATTAATAATCATAATCTAGACTCATAATCTAACTATGTTCCATTTTTTTCCCCAACATGTTTTATATTAAATCTACAAAAACGTTGACTGTAAACATCCAGATGTGTGAATCAAGTCAAATTCAGCAAATGAAGTTAAAACATTCACTTTCAGCCTATCTTACCTTGAACAATACATACCATTGAATAAAAACTATTTCATACAAATAAAGTCAAAGAATTATGAAAATGAATTACCATTCATGTTGAGCCAATTTTGCATAAAATACTCCAAAAAAGATTGACTTAGACTTTAAATCTGCTATTCCTCATTTACACACACAAAAAAAAAGGGGGGGGGGGGGATTTCCCAAAATTGCCTGCATCATAGTCATATTTTACAGGTGCATCACAATGAATTAGAATAGAGGGAATAAAAGTGTAACTGATTTCAGAAGTTCAAATCAAAAGTGAAACTCACATACAGTCCCATATATCCATTGAAAACGGAAAAATACTTTTCAGAAGGCAAATTCCAAGTGAATGCCTATGTTTAAAACAAACCAAAAAAATGGGATTGTTATTCTCAACAAAATTCCCAACATTTCGTGAGATGCACCTGATTCGACAATTGCTACTCCATCATAGTGAGTGCAGTGGTCGTACCAGGTCATTTCCAGTGAGGAAGAGGATGGGGTGGAGCGTCAACGCTGCGATAATCGCATTGTTGTGGTCCACCGCCTCGGAGATAAGTTCCACATTGTGCGCTGCAGCAGAATACTTGTGTGGGGGGGAAGGAGGAAAACACACACAATCTGGATCATTTAGTAAGTTGTTTTTTTCTTTCAATAGATTAGTCATAATTACTGGTCAAATGTATCCTATTTTTTCCCTCTATACAAGATGAAAGAAATATACTGTAAATTTGGTAACAAAGAGAAAATGCCATATTAATGTCATGTCATGACTGGATGATGGTACTCATTTATGAATATTCCTTTGTGCGTTCTACATACTTGGCCAATAAAGATGATTCTGATTCTGATAGTTGTATTTTGGTGAGTATGATGAAAAAAAAACAAACAAATTGAAATTTAGTTCCTGTTGATGGCAATGAGAAAGATATGATGCTAACCACAGAACAGGAAATGGAACTAGGGACACAAAAAAATGGTATGGCAATAATTTCGGCAATATAGATGGCAGCCACACGTCGGTCAAAGGCTGAGTGGTTTCCTCGATGTTTTTGTTTTAGTTGTTCAGTCTTCACAATTGAGTTTGATGACTGTTTTTATTTTGGTCTTTGATTTTAAACTTGCAATACCTTGTTATCCCTAATCGGACTTTTCTCCGAGGCCGGTCTTGGACAATATTTTTGCAAATCATTTGTCTTTCAGAAATCATGGCTAAACTTTTCAGAGGAAAATAATATAGTGAATATAATATACAATATTGCTATTTACCTCCTCGGAGATTGTTTTGGAATCAATGCTCTTTTACTGGCCCCAATATTCACCGATTTGCTGGTTTTGGGCTCAGGTCAAAGCCCTGTGCAACGTACAAGTTTTACCTTGTGCAGTCTTGTGGTTTCCTGGTGCTAAGGGACTTTGGTGAAGTGAAGGGAGACGCTTCATTTAGTCATTATTTTACCAGAATCTTGTGGCCACTGAACGTGATTATAAATGATACGGGGAGCATGGATTTTCGCTATCCACGGCAGGGCTTGGTCCCTTTCAAATGCAGAAGATAAAATGCTATTAAACATGACAACAATGTGACCATTTCGAAATGTCCCGGAGTTGTCAATTAACTCATGTGATGAGAGAAATTGTCTTCTTTGGAGATTAAATCAGATTAGCAAACTCTGCGGCTGACACTTGGGTGTAATTTGTTTATCTGACAAGGCTAATCTACTTATTTGCTCATGAAAGCGCAGTGCCTATTACGCAATAATGATTTCCTCTTTCCTTCCATGCAGCGACTGACGACTGTCATCCTGCAGGAGGCCGCCCAGCATCTGTTATCCGGAACATGTCCAACAGCGACCACAAGAGAATGGAGTTTTTCCGAAACTTCCTGAATGGCTGCGGCGCGGACATGTCGTGCAACTCTTCGCACTTTCTAATGCATAACGACACGGGAGGGCTTGAGCTGGCTGGGGACGGGTCGCCGTGGTTGCGGATCCTAACCTCGGTGGTCTACTTCGCGGTGGCCACAGCCGGCGTGGTGGGAAACCTGCTCGTGTTATTCCTGCTCTACTCCACGCGCACCATCACCACGGGCACCATCAACTTTTTTGTCTTCAACCTGGCTGTGGCGCACCTCCTGTTCTCCCTGGCGCTGCCCTTTTGGGCAATGGACATCGCGCTGGACTACAGCTGGCCCTTTGGCGTGGTTATGTGCAAAGCCGTGTCGCTGCTCACGGGGCTCAACGTGTTCGCCAGCTGCTTCTTCCTCACCGCCATGAGCTTGACACGCTACTGCTACGTGGCCACTGCACTCAAGCCCAGGGCTTCCCCTTGCGGCGAATACTGCACCTCCCCAGCGGTGACGGCCCTCATCTGGGCAGCGGCCCTGGTGGCGGCGATGCCCCGGGCCGTGTTCGCCGACATGCGTCACGTGGGAAGCGGCAACGACACGGCGTGCCTTCTCCGGTTCCCGGACGGCACCGCCTGGTTGGGGATAAACCAGCTCCTGCGTGTGGTTTTGGGGTTCCTTCTGCCGTACGCCACCATCATCTTGTCGTACCTGCTCCTGCTACGCTTTCTCTGTCGCCACAAGCTGAAGGGCGGCAACTCCCGACGGAAGGCTGATATCTCCAAGTCGGTGGCGGTAGTGGTGCTGTCCTTCTGCGCCTGCTGGTTTCCATACAACATCCTCACGCTGTGGAGCGTCCTGATCCAACTGGACATAGTCGACATCAGCCCCTCCTTCTATGGGGCGCAGACCTACTTCTTCCCCCTGGCTAACTGTCTGGCCTTCACCAGTAGCTGCTTCAACCCGGTCATCTACTGCCTGGTCCGCAAGGAGTATCGAGTGGCCCTGCACAACGTCTTTTTCAAGTTGAGCCTGGCCATCATGTCCAAGATGCCTTACGCCGTCAACACAGACGAGGGCTCGGAACAAGCGGGCCAGATGGCCATTCCCCTGAGCAACATGCCCAGCCAGACAAGCCAATCGGACTCGAGGCGATACGCACACTTGTCAACACTCCCGACGGTGGTCTCAACTTTGTAGAGACAGTTAGCACTGCGGTTAACACGTTGGCGTCAGAGATTCTTGGTTTGAAGACACAAAATGGGGGAAACCAGTATATGAAATGGCTGGCGGCTAGCACAGGAAGCTAATGTAGATGTTCAAAATACAATTTCCCTATTGTAATCAATTATACTGGGACTCAGATATCAAAAAGCCACACGGTTGACCCCACTGCATTTCAGAGGTTCAAATCAAATCTTCCTGGATTGGCTCCAGCTGATTCATGACCCAAACAAGGACAAGTGGATCCAGAACAAACAAACAAACTTGAACTTTTCATCACAAGTGACAAGCAGCAAGCAAGATAGTGAAAGAAGCTAAGGCAGTGTCCACATCTTCGCTCAGTGTTCCCTCTTGTCAAACAGGACTCACATGCACTGGTCACGGTCATTCCAAATTAGAATGCTTTGTTTACAAAAATCGGCTCAGGCCGACGGCCCTAGCACACAACAGGAAGCCAAAATTGGCATCTCTCCCCGTCCCTTTCTCCAGTGTGTGTGGGGCGGCATGGCCTTATGCCCCAAACTTTGATCAAAACAACGTAATGAGCAAGACCGGTGTAGACCAGTGATTCTTGATTAACAACTCTGCGGATGGATGGAATGAGCAATTGTGACTACGAAAAGGTCAAAATTGCTATCACTTTGGTATTGGTATTGGTAAGTACACCAATATAGTGGAATACAATTAATTGCCAAATGAACATTGCGAGGGAGACTGGAGATTCCTTCAAGGGAAAGTTTGGTGGCTCTTCTCACGTCCTCCTTCCAAGAAAAAAAGAGTCACAAAAAGCCAGCAACAGTTCATGTTGATGCTTTGATTAAATGGCTGATATCAGGGGTATAATAATGACTGTATTTAATTGTATAATATGTACATAGATGCACAATCTAACGAGATCCAACGACAACTTCTGCACATTTGCACAATAAGTGTGTTCAAATGTCCATTCTCGGCCTCTTTGTTTTTTGTTCCTATTAATATTAAAAATATCAGTAGGAGTGTACAGTAATAATGTCGTAAACCAGGGTTTCGAAACCGTAGGAAAATATATCATGACATACATACAGTAATACAGCATTTTACTCCAAGCACCGCAAAAAGTATCTGCAATCCATTTTGACCTTCGAACCACTATTTGGTCAATCCTCCATTAAACTGTAAAAATGTACAAACTGCTGCAACTGTGCACCCCCCCCCCCCCCCCCCGCAGTGTGTGTGTGTGTGTGTGTGTGTGTGTGTGTGTGTGTGTGTGTATATATATTATAAATCACTTCTCAATAGAAATTATTTTATGTTCGCACTTGTAATGATCTGGAAAAGGACGAACGAAATGCTGTTTTGCAGTGACGAACTAAACATACATCAAATACTGTAGTTAGTGAGACACAACGCATTTTATACTCCTAAATACCACATGGTGGTGCTGTTGTTCCTTTACCTTTGCACTTCTAATCCCGCTGTATCTACACACTGTACAGTACTGATATTGAGCTCAATGGATATGAATAAACATCAATCATGAAAATGAAATAAAGGAAAAGTACTCACCCCTTGTCAACAGCTGACGAACTATACAGGAGGAGTTTACCGTTGGTGGCTGTGAAAGTGTAAAGAGAAGTAGGAAACTACTGTACAACGAAAGCAAAAGAAAAGAAAATGACTCCACGGAGACACAAATTCATAATTCATAGGATATGTTTTAAGTCACACCTTAACATTTGCAACTACGATAAGAAGTCAACTCATACAATAGTATACAGTATGTACAAGAGAGGATAAAAGTAAATTGAAGAAAAACTACTCACCGTTTGATACCGACAAAAGCGGGAAGAGCATGTTGCCAAGCAGATCTTTACATCTTTGAATGCATTACTTTATTTAATTCACGGGGAGGGGGGGTAATAATAAATCACCTTGAAAAATGAATACATTCCTTTAGTTTTCCAACATAAATTATTTCAACCCACGTACACCAATTACCGGTATCATAATTACAAGTGCAATCATACCTACAATAGTTACTTTTATGAACCAAAAAAAAAAAGTTCCTCCATCGAACATTCACCATACAACATTGGGGGAGGATATGGCTTTTATCAATGGAGCATGGCTTGTTTCAAAGCAAATGTCAAGTCAATGAACACGATTCATCCAGGAGTTCCCCCCCCCAAAAAAAATATTTAGATCATCTGTGGCACAGTAAGTCAATTGTGCAGAATAAATAGCTGCCAAGAAATAAATAATCTATTTAATACGTCCTTTTTTTTTTTTTAGATACTTAAATATGTTATCATTCAAAATATACAGTACAAGATATTTCCTGTCACTGATGAGGTGAATGGCCCAAAAGGCTCATAAATATATTATGTCGTATACTACAATTTGTTATGTTTCATATCATATGCAAAATATTACAACGCAAAGTGCTAATTGAATCATTCGTATAAGATTATACCTTTCCATATACACTTTGTTGTTTGTTGCTTTTTGACAGCCGAGAGAAATTTAATCAATCTCTTGTGTTCTGACCAAGACACACTTATGATATTCACGGTAATGGCACTTAACAAGAATAACCCCCCAAAAAATTCAAACATAAGTGAGAAAATAATGATTCGCTTGTCTTGTCCGTTTGACACATCATAATGCATTGGTAAGTACACCAATATACTGGAATACATTTAAAATCATAACTTGTACCAATGTACTAATCTGTGGAGCACTGAAATGTGAGACAATTTAAAAAAAAAAATTATCCTGTGTTCTAACGCGATGTTAGAGCAGCGTGTTTAAATTTAAAAAGAAGCTGGGTTAGCTGTTTACTTATTTGGTAACGAAATATAACAATAGAAATCTTTTAAAAACTTTTAAAAATCTTTTTTTTTGTATATATGTATTGGGGTCATAAATGGGGATTTCATTGTTTTTTATATTTTTTACGTTTCGGTCAGTCCACTTCCTGTTTGGCTGCTGTCAAAATGACAATTAAAAAAAAAAAAAGTTTTAAATTTTAATTGGTATTACTTTTATACATTACATTTGCCAAAACACAAGCGAGAGGCATCGTACCAAGACTGACTTGTGAATGGCAGCAGTGCCCTAAAAAATGAAAAACAAAAAGAAGAAGAAATAAAAATACGGCAACCATTAAATATTACAAATAAAAGCAAGATTTGAAAAACATCAGTCAAAGTAAAATGCAAAAGAGTAAAGACAATAAACACTTAAATAAAAGTAAGATCTTGAAAAGCTCATGAAAGTACACTAAAATGTTAACAGTAAAATGTCACAAAACAATAAAAGTATTTAAATGATTCAAATCGAGTTAAAGCAGGATTGTAAAAAATAAATTGTCTTAAGATCCTATCCTATACTTTTCAATGAGCTTTTTTTTCTCCCCCCACAGGAGAACCCAAAGATCAAAACCAAAGTGCAGGCCAAATAACAAAATAAATGGATACATAATTCAAAAGAAAATTGTAATCCATTATTGTACCTTGACTCAAGCCCGGTGACATCATCACACTCTCTCTAGACCGAAGAATTCATCATAATTATCATAATAATGTACAGTAGATAATTTCTTTACAACAAGTCCATGCCTGACGGCCTTCGATTATTAGTATACACGTAAAATTCGATAATCCACTCGTCAGTTTAGGAGCCAAACCTAGATCGAACTATGTAATGCAAAAAAAAGTGAATCATTGAGTGCATTTTGAACACTAACGTTACATGTGTCTGGTAACAAACATAAAAACCTTTGTATTGTTGCTAATCATCTTGAACGAAAACGTGTTTCTTTTTAAAGGCAAGAGCTTAAAAGAGCAATTCATGAACTCGGTAATAGAAATGACTCAGTGGTACAACACAGTATTAATTCATCACCCGACTACAAATGTTACACGTATTCTTCAGTTTGCGCTGTTGCTGTATTTCCCGTTACCCTGCATCCATTTAGTTGTTTCCACCGGCCACACGTTTCCGGTGTATAATGCCAAAAAATCAGGAAATGAGAGAAAGTGTCTTTTAGAAAATGTACATCATCATCACCATCATCTTAATAATAGGTAGCTGACTCATCCTCGCGTTTTAAAAAGCTCATGCACATCGATGCCTCACAAACAGATGAGTCAGTCAACTCACGAGTTGCTATATACCTGGAAAAAGTTTTATACAACACTTTACAAACCCAAGTTATACAAGAAAGTATAAATAATGCTAGTTTACAGCAGGGTGGGCAAACTTTAGTGATTCAAGAGCCACCTTTTTTTCTTTTTTTAATGGAGGTAATTTGTAAATGATGTAAAACAACTCAAAATGTGTGTGTAAAACATTATTTTCACGATAACTAGTTATTTCATCATTTATATATACGTATATACACACATGAACCACCACCATGAGTATAATTTAAAAAATTATTTTGGGGGGAGGAAAATGGCTAATTTACTACAAGAAAAAAAATTACAATCCTACAAGTCCTTAATTTTGGGGTTTATTTTAAAAATCTAAGGTCCATTAAATTAGCCATTTTTAAAAAAACAGTGAATTTATTTTTATGTTTCGTTACATATATCATGTAAATGCGTTGGCAAATGTATATATTCATGTTTCGTTACATATATCATGTAAATGCGTTGGCAATGTTACCATACTATTAGTAGACATTTCTTCAAGCCCGCTTAGAAATGTACCGTGATTCTGCAAGCGGTGGCCGCTTATGATGTAGATGGTGGAAGGCAACCACAGGATTTTTTTTCCCTAAACGAAAGCCTTACCGTAATTAGAGTATCCTTAAGAATGCCACTTGACATTTCAATCCACCGTTTATCCGTCTTAAAAAGGCCACCAGCACAATCAACAACATTAAGTGGCCTTTCGAGGGATCTTAAACTAAAACGTGCATGTCACCTGTATTGGGGAGAGGACTTTATTCGTGCATTTCATGTAATATTGTTAAACATTGTCAGCAGTCTACTGCAGTTCAAGTTAAGTTGACAGTGGGATGTACAACACCTGGGATGTCGGCGCACTTTAATTTATCAAATTTGTCTGATGTACAATGATGCATAATTTGATCGCAGTCCGAACTGATTACGACGGCTGCCAAGCTGACGTCATTATCAACGTTCTGAGTCAGGTAACAATTAAGTGCAAAAGTCTAATTTAGTCTTATGGCCTGTTTTTCAATTTCATATTTTTGATCGGAGCCAAGGATTAAAGAATCCATTTTACAAATTACAAATCAATTGATTGCCATTTGAAAATGGAAAATAATGATACATGGACTCTTTGTGGAAAGGCTTGAAAGTGATTGATGTGTGGTATTTAAAAAATAAAATAAAATAAAAATCCAACGCACCACCGCTCATGTATTAAAAGTTAGTGACATTGGGCTTTCAGATCAGATTTGAGGAGGATCCTAAACTTTTTTTTTTGTGCTTCTACATTTTCCAAGTGCTGCCTTGTAGCCTGGAAAACACAGCCCCACTCCCCCGAATCTTCATATCCTCGGAGGTTTAGCGCAAGAAACTCGGAATGTTGGCTCTAGTCGGAGTCTTTGTACAAATTGGTCTCCGCTGTGAAGTGATTGTCAGAAGTTTTTTGAAAAGTTTTGGTAGCGACAAGGAGCTTGGGTGCGTGTGGTCCTACTTGACTGGCAAGCAGATCTTCAAGAGGAGTGGTTGGCGCTTCTGCACTCACACTTGGATGACCATCACGGATCCTGGTCGCTTTCGTAGTGGCAGTCAGGATCCAGGGAGGCCCCCATAGCCCTGGCAGATAGACTGTTAGGGAGAAAATGAAAACGGATGAAGCCGAGGCTGATAATTGCCCTGGCATGTTGAACAATACATCAATATTTTGGGAAAAATACACGAAGACATGGATGCCATTCAAAACAATTGCTAACGATTTAGCATAAATATAAGATTCCTCTAGAGTCAAATGGGGCAAGAACCAATAGGCCTATACAACAAACAGTGCAACCATGACCAAGTAGCTAGCCTTGTTAGCTTAGCACAAAAGCATAGCATTACTGTCAAGTTATATTGAGGGATCAGTTTTTTTTTTTTTTGAGCTAGTGAAACTTTTTATTTGTGACTTAGTTCAAAAAATACACAAAAGGTGCAACTGACAACACATAGCTAGGCTCTTTAGCTTAGTAGGTGTCACTAAGCCACACATTAGAAGCACAATGTTATCATTGAATGAGCCAACACCAGCAACAGTTTAACAGATAATAGCTGATATTGGTTGGGTTTTATTTTCTATTTCTCTCAGTTAATGTCGTTTTAGCTCGGCACTTGCTTTATTAGCTAGTTGGTTAGTTTACTACTTGATTCAAAAGGCAATAGTACACACAAGAGCTAGCCTTGTTAGATTGTCAGGAGCAAAATGTTCGCATTTTCGTATAAATATAGTAGCATTGATTACCGGTACCTTGTAATAAAAACAAAGGCTGTGTATATTGAATTTGAACAACTGACTATGAAGATTACCCCATAGCCTTTTCCAGAGCATTTTGACAGTATCTGTAATGGTTATTTTTTGTTTGTAGCTATGTAGCTTTGGGGCCACTGTCTGGGGCTTGTTCACTGCTGTGTTGTGATTGGCTAAGTAGAAGGTGTCTTGATTGCATCCTTAGAGGTTCCACCGTAAGCCCAAAATGGCTTCGCTTTCACATTTGAAAGCACCGCACAAACAAATATTGATAACTGATTGCAGCTAGAACACAGCAGCCTTGTCGGCTAATTCACAACACCACAACACTCACCGCCCGCTGGTGAGTCACACCGGGCTTTAATAAACGTATATTGCAGTACATTATTTTCAGTTTGAGTGTTGAGGGCATGATATTCCTTCGCAAACCCAACCCTCTATTTCCCCCAACTGGATTAGCATCCAGCTTTTGACTGTCACTCAGGATGTAGTTTGGATTAGATAGCAACAAGGTGGTATATTTGGATGAGACCCTGCACTGACTAGCAAATGGAGAATGATGTTTAAGACTCAGGCACTAACCTGGTCTGTGAGGATTCGAGGCTTAATATCAGGAATGGCACCCCCTCTCAGCTCATCTTCCACAGCCATGAGTCTGACAACAGGGAAATAGAAGCAAACATAACAAAAATAAATAAAATAAAATAACAGCTACGCGTAGCCATATGATCATGCTGTATAAATCAAGTACGTTTTATTATCATTTTTATTATATTAAGGCCTTGGCATGCTGAATTTTTTCCACTCACTACTGCAATATGTTGTCTGGGGTATCCGTATACCTGCCATGGCCCCAAGGCCGAACTTTGGACACTTCTCAGTTAGAACTGTGGCCGTCTCTCCCATTTTACACTGTAATCTGTCCCTGCGTTTTATGTTTTTCATCCAGATATTGACCATTTTATGATACCTCCCCCAAAATATGTGTGTTAGGATTGCCGTGGTAAAATGAAAGTATATAAATAAGGGGGGCCCACAGACATTCCCTGAAACGTCACCTGTTGATGATGCCTTTGATTTGGGAGTCCTTCTCCACTTGCTGCTGTTTAAGACGCCGCTCGCTGTCCTCCAGGCGGCACTGGTACTGCTGCAGGATCTTGCTGGTCTGCTGCTCCTGCGACGCGAGCCTCTGCTCGTATTCCTCCAGCTTGCGATGGGACATCTTCAGGCGCTCTTTCAAGGAGTGAATCTCCTCCTCGTACTCCCTCACCTGCAAAGTTTCACTTGATGAATGATACGGCGCACTGGACAATGTGGACAATTTAGAATCTTCAGTTAACCTCAGCGAGAGTTTTTCCTTTCTACTTCTAATTAATTCAGCGTTTGAGTACTTTTGCCACCTCTACTTTTATGCGTCCAAAAACTGTTGTGGTTACCCTCTCCAGGCGGGATTCGTCCATGCTCTTGGAGTACTCCTTAAGCTGGCCCTCGCGGTCGGGCCTCAGACTCTCAATGTCGGCGGAAAGATGCGGCATGTTGGACACCCAGGCCACCGTGCGCTCATTCAGGTTGGACTGGGAACCCTGAAAATGACATGGAGAAAAGTTATGGTCACTTCTCCCTTTCATAATTTTGCTGCTGTAAATTGGGAATTTCTCCATTGTGACACAAATCAAGGTTTTCTTATCTTATGAGGGAAAGAGTGGTAAGCATTTGTTTTGTTCTCCAACAATTTTTAAATATATTTACAAATGGACGGTTAATTGTCGGCGGAAAGATGCGGCATGTTGGACACCCAGGCCACCGTGCGCTCATTCAGGTTGGACTGGGAACCCTGAAAATGGCATGGAGAAAAGTTATGGTCACTTCTCCCTTTCATAATTTTGCTGCTGTAAATTGGGAATTTCTCCATTGTGACACAAATCAAGGTTTTCTTATCTTATCTTATGAGGGAAAGAGTGGCAAGCATTTGTTTTGTTCTCCAACAAATTTTTAAATATATTTACAAATGGACGGTTAATTGCTGAGCTTATTTGAATGATGTTGCTATCCAAAACAACAGCACCGACCAATGCAACCAAACAGTTCCATTCAAGTCTTGCAGTTTCTCCTACATGTTACTGCAATGTTTTGAAACAAAAAGACAAGGAATGTTTCTTAAACTTTCCCAACTGGTGAGACTATCTGAACTCTTTCTAACCAACTCCGCAGTACAAAACCAGACATATAAACAATTTCTGTGTTGAATTCAAGTCTCAAGTTGGAAACAAGTTCTCATATGAAATATCTGATGTCATGTGGATACAATCACTATAACAACACTTTTTAGTAGAATCGCTACCATCTGCAGTTGCGTAATTGAACACCAAATGGCGACATTGAATGACTAACCTGTTTGTTGCCAAGGGGCTTAAGCAGATGTTGCTGCGGAGGCTGCAACTGTTGCGACTTTTTGCCGCTTTTGGTTGGCGTGTCCTTCGAGTCTTCGGCGGTGGCAACCGCTGTTTGGCCTGAACAAAGTTTGCGTCGGTAGACTCCAATAGGAGATTCCTGCTCTGGGGTCGGGCCTTGGGCGGCGTGGCCGTGGCCGGGGTGTTGACGGAGCGCTGGGACTTGAGGAGCTGGGGGGCGATGGAGGACTGGCGCACAGGGTGGACAGTCGTAGGCGGCGTGGCCAAGGAGGCGGGCGTGCCGGTTCCGGTGGGCGTCTGAGAAGCGACGCCCATCATGTGCTGCTGCTGGAGGGACTCCTGACGACACAGGTTGAGAGGAGGGAAAGGTTGAAAGATTTAACACCCCCAGGTTGTGAATGCAGCATTCATCTAAGAAATGTCAGTTCAAGGGGACCGACAATGGAAAATTGACTTTTCAATTGCTTGTACAGCATACAAATAGTTGAGTCTATGGAGGGGCAGCACACCTATCAAGAATGAAATAAAACAAACTATTTCTGAAAATGTGTCTGGAAATCGTTCTGCACTTGATGCTAAGCAGGGCTAATGGCAAACTAGCTTTCTTGCTGAAACACCCCCAGATGACATTGTACCATTCTCATTGAAACAGCCTGAAACATCATTTGTTTTATGCTAAGCTAACTAGCCAGGGGGCGTTCTTCCTGTCCTGTCCCAGAATGCCATTTGAATGTGCTCCTTCATGCTAAGCAAGGCTCCCTGGCTAAATAGCCGTGGGCCTTCCTCACCGAAATGCGGTAAACGTGCACATCCCCCCCCCAAAAAACATTTGAGTATGCTGTTTTAAAATAAGTTATGCTAAGTTAATATTTGATTAAAAACAGACAAGTTCGTAATTAATTCAACAAGAACAATTGTCCTCACACCAGCTGTATTAAAAAAAAAAAACAAAAAAAAAACAAGCAACAGAGATTCATTGCAGCCCACGCAGCAGGATAGAAATAGCTCAGGACAATACAGTACATAACGGTATCATTAGAACCGCTGCAGCCTACACAGTATGACTGACACATTAATAACATATTACTAGTTACTTTTTAAAATTGTAATGTGTTACACACTGCACATCCGCCTTACAGTGCAGAGGTCATGGTTTCGATTCAGGGCCTCGGTCTTCCTGTTTGCATGTTTTTCCCGTGCCTGTGTGGGTTTTCAGTTACACTGCTTAGCTGCCACAATTTTTTTTTTAAGTAAATGGGAGTTTTCATGCATGGAAGCAGCACACTTACCTGCACTTGCAGTGAGAGCTGATGCCAAACTAAATCATTGTTCTGATTCTGACGGGTGAAATCATCGCTGTAGCTGTGTGAGTGGACGATGCTGGGCTGAACTAGGCTGTTCTGAGAGCGCAGCGCCGACAGGTCCTCGCTGCGGGAGAACACGTTATTGCCAAACGCCGGGGTATAGTCATGGTGGCCGTTCTCTGCCTCGGGGGCCAACAGGAGGGGCGGCGGCGGGGGCTGGGCCGGGGAGTTCTGCGCCGCCAGGTGGAAGAGAGGGTTCTGGAAGGACAGCGGGTAGTGCATGGCTGCCGCCGCCTGCTGCTGCTGCTGGGAAATGGACTCAGTGGGGCCGCCGATGTGGCCAATCTGGCTAAGCCTCAGGCCGGAGCCCGCCGAGCCGCTGGGCAGGTGGCCGGCCATTCGGAGTGGGCCCCCCAAGTTGCCGAAACTGTGGCCCAGGCCGGCGATGGAGGCCTGCGAGGACGTGAGCATGTCCCCCACGGAGTTCAGGTTGGAGATGCTGTTCATGCGTGAGTCTTGGAGTTCCATCATAGACACACTTTTATTCACGCTGTGAACCTGAAAAGCAGTCATGACAAAAGAAGATTTATGGAAAATCCGGATCAAAGTCAATCAAGCCATCAGGAATGAAACAAAACAAAACAATAAAAATGGAAAAAGTGGTCATAAACAATATTGTATTATAATGCTGCGTTACCTTGGGGTCGGGTTCCGTGATGTCTGAACTGCTGGTGCAATATGCCGGGCTGGAGCGGGCCAGCGGAGGCCGGGTGACATAGAACACCTCCCGGGACGAGCGCAGGTCTCGTTCGGCCTGGCGCCTCATGTTGAGGTTGGACGAGAGAGACTCAACGGCCGACACACCAGTGGGGGGCGACGGCAGGCGGTTGATATCTATGGAACTTGAGGCACGACACAAAGGTCCAGTTAGTGTCCCACCTGACCCGACAGATGACGCTTGAGTAGAAAAGAGCTTCAAATCCTTAAATTTCTGAAGTAATTTCCTTAGTGTGTGTTCTCGTAGGTGTTCTTACCAAAATCACCTTGCCATTTTTCAGCTCTAATTCCTACATTTTTGATCAATTTAAACAATTTCAAATTCAAACTGTTCAGCTCATTCCTATTCCATTTTCCTCCAAATATCAGGATAAAAGCCCAACATTAAGAATTAAAAAAATATAGTTACTTCTAATTCCCACATGTGAAGACTGACTCAAATGTTCAAAATTTTCTCATTGGGAAAGGGGGGGCAGGCATCCTGTTTGACAGCTGCATTTATTTTTCGCCCACTGTTTGAGGAAATAGTCTGCATATCAGTGGTTTGGCGGATTTCCATTTATCATTGCATCATATAAAAATACCAGTGGAATGATTCAAGGCAATGAATCAAGGCAAATGCAGTTGAGGGGAAACGGTCACAATTACAACTGCTGTTGTTCTTACGTTAAGAGTTTTCATTTAAAGCGTTAGGCTATAATGTGAGGCCGCGTCTCCTGATAATAGGAAGCGTGAGGCGGAAGAAAAGGGGGTTTGGTGAAGAAGGTCTGGGAACAGATGGTGCCAGCAATTACCGATTGATTAAAAAAAAAAAAAAAAAAAGAACGTATTGCCTTTGGAGATAAATTAGGTGACATTAGAGGGGCTCTCGGAAATAAGACGGGGATTGTGTTTTGGTGTTGCACAATTCCCTTCCTGTGAAATTTCTCGTTCTGCGCTTCGCTGTTAATTACACCCATGTGACGCCGCAGTGTCACGCGTGAAGAATTACCCGACACGGTGAGGCCTCTCGAAGGACACAATGATCTGTTTTTGAAATGGAGGAGGAGGGGCAAAATATTAAGACGGGGACACCTACCTGTTTAAGTCGCGCATCATCAGGCTCTGGAAGTCGGAGGACATGAGGCGATTGAACGTGGGCCGAGAGAAGAGTCTGTCCTTGGGCCGCTCGGGTTGGTGGTTGGTGGCGGCGTGTAGCTGAGGGTTCCGCAGGGCCACACTGATGTCATTCAACAGCCGAGGCAGCGGACCCAGTTTGAGAATGGCGTCCTGTGGGATGTTTAGGGAAAATGTGACCGCAACCAAACCAGAATTGTGCTGTTCACATGAACATGAGAACAAAAAAAAATAAAAATCATCACAAGTCACATTGGATCCCAAAATCTGAATTGGACAGCATACGGGGGGCACCAACCTTGCTGAGCTGGCCCATGACCTCCCATAGCAGGCTGTGCAGCATGGACAGTTCCCTGCCGAGGTCGATGTAGCCCTCAAAGCCTCCTGCGTTCCCTCCAGCGTCCATGTTGGAGATTTCATAGAGGAACTGCTGCATGGAGCCCCACTCCATCTCCAGGAATTCGTTCATGAAGTACATGTATTCTTCCTTGGGCCCAAACCTATATTAGCCAAGGTACTATATTTGGTAACTTAGCTTTTGATAAACGTTATCGGGATGATCAGTGAGGAGCCATTTTTGTTAACTACATTGTTTAATGGGCAAGGAACAAAATCTGCAAACTTCTTATTAGGGTGGGGGGGGGGTGTAGGGGGCATATTTGGTGAGTCAAGTTTAGTCCCGGAGCTTTTAAAGGACTCACTTGCTGAAGCTGGCCAAGTTCTGCATGACCTTGGCGATGAGTGTGAGGGTCCGCGAAGTACGCTCCACCGGGTACTCCTGCGTCAAGTTGAAGAGCGAGGGCGACATGATGGCCGGGCACATGAAGCGGAGGAACAGCGAGGAGCTGATGAGGCTGTCAGCCAGGTCCTCCCTGCCGCGCTCGGCGCAGCGGGCCCGCCACGAGGCAAACACCTCCTTCAGCTCGCGAGGGAAAATGCTGCAAACAAGCGTGACAAGACTCCAAGTCAGAGAGAATGCAGCGGATAAACAGAGACGATATATCTTGGAAAGATAAGATTCGCACCAGAGGGAGTTGATGATCTTGCAGAGTAAGAGCTCACAGCACATGCGGAGGTTAGCTTGGTGGTCCGCCAGGACTGACGGCGGGACTCGCATGGGGTCCACCTCGCAATTCTCTTCAGATTCATACAGTGCTCGGATGAAGTCGCCTGAAGGACATAGGGACATATTTGGTCATGAAGCATTTCACAGGTAAGCAATATATTTGTTCACTTATCTTTTAGTCTGTATGGTAACTTAGCCCCTTGTCAGCATATTTGGTAGCTGAGCTTTGGGGAAATTAACCCTGTTTGGTAACTTAGCCCACATCAGGCAAGCAACAATATTTGGTAGCTTAGCCTTTAATGGACATCAGATTTGACAGCTTGGGTTTGAATATGCAAGTAATGATAAGTGTTAACTTAGCCCATTATCAAGCAAAGAACTAAATGTGGTAACTTAGTCATGAAGAGGCATAGGACCATATTTGGGCAACTTTTGTCAGAAAAGGGAGCGTGTGTGATAATTTAGCTACTTATCAAACAAGAAATTATATTTTCTGACTTGCCCCCTTATCAAGGAAGGCACTATGTTTTGTAATTTATCATCACATCAGGAAAGGAACAAAATTTTGGTATTCCATTGATTAATCAAATCAAATTTTGTGTTCTATTCAAGTGTATTGCAAACCATTTTCCTCCAGATTACTGTCCATTTACCAATTATTGTTGCTTATTTGGTATTGTTCAGTAATCAGAGAACACTTACTGTTGAGAGGCTGAAATCAGAGGATTTGGACAATTTTAAGTTAAACGACGGCTCTAAGCCATTGCTCCATTATGAGAGTAATTGATTAGTTGTTGACAAATCAATTGATGTCGACACCTATTCTTTCAACACAACTGGAACCATATTTGGTATTTTCACTGACGTGTGGCCGACAAGAGCAATTTTCGGGTTCTCCCGCAGTTCCTACCTATCCCTTCCTTGAGGTATCGGTGACCAATCAGCTTGAGGTACTCCTCCACAGCCTTCGTGGCGAGTGTGTTCTCGCGGAAGATCATGTGCTCACGCTCCATGAATCGATCCACCTCACACATCGCCATGTCGGAGAGGAACTCCTGAGAGCGGGTCGCATTTTATTTATTTATTTATTAAAGATAACACGTTTCATGTTAAAACCCCTCAATAAAAGTAGGTCTTGTTTACCTTAGTTTTGCCGGTGCTTTGGAGGATGTGCACCAGGGCAAATGCCACTTCCTCTTTGCTCTTTACGCTCAACAGCGGCTCCAGGACTGCACACAGTGTTCGGTAGTTGTTGGTGATGTACTCCGCAAACTCCTTGTACAGCTCCATGGGGAGGATGTTCATAGTCTGGTAGCGTGACTTGACGCGGAGTGAGGCGTTGATGACTTTGCCGCTCCCAACGCCGCCACTCTTGGCCAAAACGCTGGACTGGATGACGGGGTACCACTGCTCCACAAACTGACGGCCCGTGATGCTGGAGATGGGGATGCTGACCAGGCCAAGGTATGTGCTTTTCTCCTAGAATGCCAACAACACAATGCAGCCATTTATCCGGAACCAAATTTGGTCACTTACGTCAGGCAAGAATCCATATTTGTGAACTGCTGCATACTTGGAAAGTCAGCCCCTGATTGAACAAGGAAGCGCAGTTGCGAACGTAATTTTTTAAGAGGAAAGGAATCACATTTGGTTGCTGAAGTCCATTTTGGAAATATACCGCCAAAGTGACGTTACCTTGCGTCTCTTTTTGTCCGTCTCCTTGTAGAGGTGCAACCGAAGGCTACGAATGGTGGGCAGGTTGTTGAACTCAAAATGCTCGCCCCAGAAGACGGTGTCCGTGCGAGGTTTGCTGGTGGTGCGGGCATACAGCATGTCGTCCAGGCACAGCTCACAGTAGTAGCGCTTCTTGGTCGGCAGGTCCCGGGCTTCGATGATCCATAACTTCAGAACGTTTTCCACACGCCTGCTGTTGTCCTGGACAAGAAAAAAAACAAACATTCATGAGCCTTAGCCACAGTACTTGACATTTGAACTTGGCAAATAAGTACTCAGAGTTCATCCAATCCCCACAATTTCATGACTGATGTCAAAGGGTTTGCTTTAAATCAGACTTGAATCAGTATTAGGTTCACCTTGTTGGGTTTGACGGCTCTTTGCAGGTTTTCAATCCACTTGTCTCTCTCTGATGCAGAACGACAGGCAAAGCATTTTGTCCCTGAATTTGTGGTCACCTAAAGATGGAAAAAGACAATTTTTTTTTCAGTCAATAAACCAGGAAAGGAACCAGCTGAAGTAACATGACTTTTCATCAAGCAATGAACCAATTTAGCAATTGACTTTTAGCAGCACATTGATCATTACCTCCTATGCTGAAATGTGTGCCTCATGCTTTTGTGGTCACAGTAACTCAAAAAAAAAAAAAAATCTCTCCATTTCGTTTCTACTGCATGAAGAGGACAGGGTTTATCACAATTTTTGCTAGTATAGTGAATCGATCTAGTTCCAAGTGGCACACAGCAATGCTTTGCATTTGAGCCATTCACCATTTTCTGAATATTCCCCTCCCCTCCTGCATTCCTTTTCCTCATGTTGTAAATGAAGCAGGAATGAATTGGAACCTAATTTGCCAAGCATGGGCGAAATCGGAAGCACATCACACACTTGGTGCATGTAGTCTACTGGGCATTCCAAGTCAATGGTGCATTGTTGGGTTGGTGGGTCCAGGATCTTAACACTTCAAACAGGAATGTGACAACAATTTGGGTGCATTCTTGTGGGCGCGTACCCACCTCAAAGCAATATTCTTGTCCTAAAATGCTGGAGTGGACCGGCTTTATGACGGCGTCTTCGTCCAGCACCAAGTCCAAAGCCTCGGCAGCGCTGCTGGGAGAGAGCAGCGACTCGTGGGAGTGGGATTCTTTGAAACTCTGCATCAAGCGTGTCCTTGTGGGGGAGAGAGAATAGAAAGAAAGACAACAAAAAAAACCACAATGCATTTATTTTCACAGTTTCTCGGATGTGACTGTCATCATCCTTAAATAAACTTGTGCAGAAGACTTTCATTCAATACACAAGTGAGTCACAGAGACTCAAGGAGTCGTCATCACACCTGACAATCTAAATATATATTTTCGGAGATGATCCTTTTATAATGAGTTTTGGGGGGTGGGGAAAAGCAAGAGCTGTAATTCTTGCTGTTTGCAGTTTGGCTTGTTGACTCGACTCATCTGTGTCATTCCTTAGCTAGCGCAGCGGCGCGATGGAAAATGTACATAGTAGGAAATCATTTCCTTTCTGATGGAAGGGAAAGTAAGTGAATTGGAGTTTTTTTTTGGGGGGGGGGTTGTTTTGTTTTTTTAGGAATTATCTTGATTTTGGTCTTCCGCAGAGAGCAATAGAAAAAAAAAAGATACATTGAGACCACTTAATATGTGATTATTGCTTGGTTTAACAGTAGTGACAGGGGCATGCTAGCTGATTTAGCATGATCAAGCATTTTTTTCAAGACTGAATTTGGTGTTAAAAAAAACAGAAAAGTAAAAGATTACATTTTGAGGAATTAACCTGATTTTTTTTTTGTTCTTAAGAGAGCATTGGATGAAATATCTGAAAAAAATGTTTAAAAAAAAAAAAAAAGCAAACAAAACAAGAGCTTGGCAGGCAACTACGAGCAGCTGCGATGGGAAGAGAGAGTGCGAAGTTGGACGTCGGATGCCTTTGCAGCATCAACGGGAAGAATTAAGTGTGTGTGGGCAGAACGGGAAGCCGGCTGTGAAGGCAGCTGTCAGGCAGTGGTATGAAACACGGCCAGGAAGTCAAGGTGACCACAGCCCTGAGCCTAACCACCCCTAGATTTCCACAGCAACCCCAGCTTTAATGGAGGGTTGTTGTTTTTTGTTTTTTTTTAATCGCAATATTTTTTTAGCATGTCGCTAAACATTATTGGACACTGATCCTCAAAATGTCTTGAAAGATATTTAGTAATTCATTTTTTAAAGCGAATAGCAACTTAGCGAATGCAACTTGTTCCCTTTCTTTGGCAAGGAACGGTAGCAATTTCGCTTTTAATGGGAAAGGGGCCTTTGTACCTTAGCTTGGAACGAGCAAAGGGACCGTGTTCAATAACACAAATCTTATTGGGCAAAGAATAACAAGTGGCAACTTTAAAGCCTTTTTAGCATCCATACATAAACAACAGTGGACACCCATATATCTGCCCCAAAAATGTCTATTCTCTTCCTCCTGTGGGTAGCGTCAGCACAATAGCTCTACTTTCTGCCTCGACATCTTCATTTCCCGTTCGCTCGCGTCGTGACTGAATTGTGTTAGTACAGCAGAAAATTCCTGACAACAATGCAGCCCGGATTCCTTTGAGATGTGACCCCACGTTAGGATGAAAAACAAGAATCTGGCATCACAGCCATATGGGCTGCATGCTTCTTTTTCTTTTTTGCATTGTCACTTTAACATACAGATATCATAAAACGATACCGCAGAGCAGTTCCATTCACATTGTTTTCCACAAACACTGTAAATACAAACGCGACCAACCTCTCTTGATCAGCGCTACGGAACCGGGGCAGAATCATTTGTCGAAAGCTGCTGGTCCGGTCTAGTTTGGGCTGACTTTTGGCCCTCTTGATGGAGCCCTTCAGCCTTCTATTGAGGAAACTCTGGAAAAGGAAAAAAAAAAAAGTGAAGAAATAGTTAGTTAGCTACTCAGCAACTGAAGTCCCCTACTAGCCAGTATTTCTGGATCTCGAATTATCAATCAACCCATCTGTGGTCGATAAAGAACTACAAATCCAATGTGACACAATAAAATAATGCATAAAAGTGGGTTTTAGTCCCACAAATGTGTTTCTGTGCACTCACCGGCTGTCTGAAGGACTGTGGGGTAGCGTTGGGAGGAGTTTCCATGCTTGACTGTCGCACAGAGGCAAAACTTGCCCTGCGCGATTGGTCTGGGGAGGAGGAAAGGGCACCATAGGTTAAATAAACAAACAAACAAAAAAATTCTAGACCATTAATTTAGTATCACAGTTGACAGTGTTCCACTTTGGAGAGTCCACTGAATTCGAAACCACAACTGAGCACACACGCAAGTTAATGACAAAATCACGACGGACATTTAACATGTCAACAACAGTATCAATAAAAACATAAGGACAGACATCCGCAGTCGCCGTAACGGTGACAAAAGTGGCTTTTTACCACCTACCGTTTCGACACTTGAGACAAATAAATTCCTCGCTCAAATGCTTGGCTCCCTTTTCCCCATAAAGGATAAAAAAACAACAGTAACTGCAAGGAAAGCAGGTGAATTTTACTGTGTATCCTTTTTCCCCCGTAAAATTCTCAGAGCTTCAGGATTTACGGTGTGGCCCTGAAAAGCCTTCAACATGGAACTTTTTTTTTTTCTCTCCACATTGGGAATATGTAATACGTTTGTGATAAGATGTTCGCTATTACACTACAACACCAATGATCAATTTCCTGTTCCTCCTCGATTCTATTTTTGGTCTGTTTCTTTGACTTCAATGACTAATGTCAGCAAAAGACACACACTGTCATCCTGTGATTTCCTCCCAAAGCCTGCAAATGGGACGCTTGCCAGGTTCTATTCTGAAACATGGGCTAATTGTTTGGTCTCCATGGAAACGACTAGCTCACATTTGAACCGCTCAAGGTGGCGGCACGGTACAAACAAAACACAGAAGACGCAGTGCATGTCCTGAACCCGAGCGGTGAAGCGGCCACCTAACGAACTAATGTGACACAAAATGAATGTGTGTGTGCCGAACATGTGTGTGCGTGTGTGTGTGTGTGTGTGTGTGTGTGTGTGTGCGTGTGTGTGTGTGTGTGTGTATGAGTGTGCATGTGTTGCCTCTCTCCCTATTCGGGATGTAAATTGCTGCGTGTGTGGGTGGCTCCGACCTCCAGCTAACTGCGATACCGAGGAAGAAGACTGCGGAGTGGGTGTTAAGAGAACCATACTCGCCACTTATCATGTGTTCCTCTACAAATACATGCCTTTTAATTCAATCAGAGATGAATGAAATCGCAATATCCCCCAGCCCCCCCAAAAAATTTCCTTGACATTCACAACTAGGCACTGTTTTAGGCCAAAGCATATGACATAATACTCCAAAACTCAACAAAATGTGCATGGTCGTTACATTTTTAGTTGATGAGATTGTGGGCAAAATCCCCCCCAAATTTCCTTGGTAGCATGGAATTATTGTTCTCGAGATTTTCTCCGTTTGCTACCAAACTCGAACCGCGTCGGCTACACTCGACGGGCGATAAACTGAAATATTTTAATTATTTTGTCATTCCACGTGGGTAGAGCATTGGAGTGAATTGTAATGACTCCCCCCAAAACACTTCAGACCCCAAAAGCAAAAAAAAAAAAAAAAAAAAACTTTTTGAGGTCATTTTCGTCACATCCAGTGGTCCTTCAAAGATGAACTTAACCTATAAATTTTGTTTATTTGCTCCCAAATTTGTGGCCCAAACCGAACAAATTGAACCTTCACTTAGCGACAGGAAATTCAGTCGTAATGGCTATCACGAGTAGACCCAGAAAAATGTTTCAAGAATCCAAGCCAAGAAAGACAAATAGATGCCACAAAATGCCAGCAAAGAACAGTTTTTCAATAGCCTGACCGATTGAAGCTCCACCCCTCACTTCAACATAGTTCTTTGGCCCTAAGATAACACCAAAGCAAAGTGTTTATGCTAGAGCATAAAAAAAAAAAACCCAAACAAACCCCCATTCCCCAAATCAGTGAGTTTTTCAGTGACTACTAGTGGATTGGGCCCCCGATAAATACACTAATTGTCAATTCTGCGAATGATCTACTCAATATGTGAGGGTTCATTGTCTTCCCAAATGTTTGGCCTTCACTTCTGTGTGAACATAACAGCCTCCTGAAACAAGTTCTGGGACTCACTATGAGAAGCAGGGAATTTTAATCTAGGATAATATGGTTGTCATAATTAATGACATCAACTTATGCAACATGATACAATTCCTCAGCAAACTGAGGAAATCCATCCCAAATGCCCAAAAGCTGCGACACAGCAGTGCGTCTAGAAAGTCTACCCTGGGTCTGAAGTGGTTGATGTGCCCCCCCCCCAAAAAAAAAAAAAAAGGTTCAGGGAGTCTGACTTGCTCGTTTGAAGCGAGCCGCCCAAGCGATCACCCTCCATGACGGCATTGAGAGAAAGAAAAAAAAAATCTCGACACATCAAGTTGATGCCTCTTTGACAAGCTGACGGCGTCGCCCCGGGAGGGTTGAGCCCGAGTCCGCCAAAGGACCAACAAGCGGGGGGAAAAGCTCCAATGAAGCTCGACGTGTCAAACACTTCGCAGGTCGTCTTAAACTCTCGATACATATGAACGCGACCTTGAAACATCATGTTAAAAAAATGTGTATGGTTCACAAAAACAGCTGCTCTGCTGTTTCTATAGCAACCTCAAATCGCCTACTGTACTAACATTTGGACCAGCCAGGACTCCTCAAATGTAAAAATCGAAATTCCGATGATGTATTCACATCCCTACTTCTTTTAAAGGTCAAAGTTGCATACGCATAATGATTAGGGTGACACAAAATTAAAATATGAGTATAAATAATATAAAATAGTATAAAAGCCTCAAAATATTAACACAGAATACATTTATCATAATTTTATGAAAAAAGGCAAAATGTTAGAATTTGTCATTTTACAAGAATAAAGTTATATTTTTATTTTGTAAGTTGAACATAACAATGTGACAAAAAAGTCAGCATGTTATGAAACCAAACAATTCATAATCTGACTTGAATATTGAGACTTTTTCTTGCTAAAACGTGACCGTAATCACATATTTTTTCATTTTAGCTTGATGCTAATATGCCTAGAACAACATACAGTATATCCCACATTGTCAGATCAAATGTCACCCCCCCACCCAAAAAAAAAAAAAATGTGCATTCCGATTCCAACTCAAGACCACATAATATATGATGCAAAACCTGCATCTCTAATGACATATTAACATTTAACGAACGCGATAGCTGAGCTCTCAGGGGTTTATGCAAAGTGAGCAAAGAAAGACAAGTGACACTTCTGACTGCTGCTATTTTTAGACCCGCAGGCAGCAATCAAGTAAATAAAAAAAATGTAAAAAAGAATAGACACGGCAGAAAAAGGAGAAGAAGCAGCGCTGCAGGATTTGAACAGCAGTGGTGGGTGGAGGGGTTGAGGTAGCGCAGTGTGGGGGCGGGAGGAAGCTGCAGAAGGCCAGCTCCCATTGGCTAAAATATGGGGATGAGCGTGAGATGACATCAGCATGCTATGTCACAAAAATATGAAAAAAAAAAAGGCTGTCAGAGAAACATTGTTTCATTTTGTTGCTTTTGTAGTCCTGAATTCTCGCCTTTCACCCGGGCACATGCAAAAAAAACCTGAAAGGACTGTGGCCTGGTTGCCATAGGAACATCGTTAGCTCTCCCTACGTGTGTATGTGTGTGTGTGTGTGATTTTTTTTTTCTTATTAACACAGCATGGTGAGTTTGCAAATAAGCGGATTTACCCACACTTGAAACTTCTCGGATTCTCGGATAGTTAAAACGAAAAAAAAAAAAAAACCTCCAATAAAAACAGCCGCTGACACCAGTTTCAGCCATCGAAATGAAAATGGGTGGATGCCTGAAAGTTACCAGAAAGTCACCCAGTTTGGCACGAAATGGCCATTTCAGGCGGATTTCAAGGCTCCGCTTCTAACTGACAAGGAAGAAAAAGGAAGATGGACATTTTGGCATGAAGCAAACCATTTCAGGACTCCAATTTTGACAAAATCCTACAAAGGAATTCACCCAAATCAGCCCCGATCGGAAGCATTGACAGATGGGCGACACTAAACTGCCAAACCCCCCCCCCCCCCACTCTACGCCATCGGCTTGGCGGGAAATTACGTTAATTTTTGATCATCATATTGGAGGAGTCGCCATGAAAAACGTGTCTGTTCATCTCTCCTTTGCGGTTTGCAATTTGGATTCCTAAGTGTGAATTTGGACCATGATACACATGCAACATCTCAACTCGTCATTTTAAAAAAAAAAAAAAATCCTTCCAAGTCGATACATACACATACATACATACAAAAAAACAAACCAACACGCCACGTCAAATAGATACAACTTCCATGGGAACGTGAAACACAACAGACGGTTTGGGGTGGGGATCGGAGCGCACTCACTTGGGGTTAAAACGCCGGGTCCGCCACAGCACACTTCCACTTGACCACCCAAACCAAACTGACCCTGATGTGGCAGCCACGACTTTGACGACGCGTCCATGCAGCTATAAGGCGCGCACACGCACACACACACAGACACACGCACACACCCAAAGTCAACTTGGTCGTGGAGTTGTTGCACGTATTTTCCTCCGATTTTTGGGAGTCGATCATATGAATTCCAGCATCCTGTGTCACAAGTCGAAGCAACACAGCTCATCATGGTTGCCCTTTTACGGCCTAAATGTCACCATGGCTTCTGTTCAACCTCAAGCTGTTCCTATGATTAATTGATAGGATTTTTTTTTTTATTCCACATGCATGTTACGCTAGCTCTTCTTTCTGACTGGCGTCTATACAAGTGATTTTGTCTCACATATAGAAAGAAATATTAAAAGTAAAATATCCAATTGTCTCCAACTAGGAAGTGGCCAACTCACTCAAAATTTAGAATTTTTGATGAGGCTCTGTCTCTTTTTTTTTTTTTTAACCACCTAAAAATTGTAACAATAATTTTCAACTTCAGAGCTCATTGTGATTCCTCCATTCATCATTTCACCTTTTCTGGAAATAACTTCCATCGCTTCTTGGCTACAGCAGAAGTGTAAGAACTGGTAGATGTTTTCAAAAGCAATGATCACTTGAAGGCTATTTTGATATATATATTTTTGTCATTCATTTGAGAGGGAAACAGATTTAAATACTCCAAAATAGATTTGCATTACAGCACTCTCAAGTTAAGTGTGGGAAACTGAGCGTTTCCTTGCATGCATTATTAATGGAACAAAATGAACCTCTGGGTATCAAAGCGAAAAAATTAAACTAATGTTTGGCCTGGTTAACATTTCATGCAACTCCATTTCAATTCCAAGTAGTCACTTCAGAAAAAGCAGATGAAGTGCAACAGAGTTTTCTTTACGACATATTGCTGTGACCCGATGTTTGTAAAATAGTACTGTGGCAATGCTGTCTTTGTGCAGATAACCTTGTCTCCTACCACTTTCAATTCATACCGACATAGTGGGACACAGAGCGTAGTGACTCATAAGTCATACATGGTTGGAAATAAGGCAAGTAAAAACCTCATTTGTACAAAACGCTATAATTAGGCCAAAGGCAACAAGAGACTAACTAAACATCTCATTCATACAAAATAGGATGATATAGTGCAATTGTGGTAATTAGTACACGGGTGATTGAAGTAACTACTAGTACGGTAAATTAAGCAGTTTGAGGGCTTAGAAGGTTAGCTAACATTTCAGCACAAAATATACATACATTTTTTTAATGCTAATTTAGCATTGCTGCTACCTCTTTAACGCCTCTAGAATCAACATATTAGTTCACTTTTGCTGAAAACGTGCATGGTGTGGATCACAATATCAGGTACTTAACAGGCTGCAGTCTTTACAATGTCAATCCAAACTGAGCATTTGGAATAGAGTACAGTACATTGCATGGAGGGTCCCTAATAGTGATTGCAGTGAGTGTACAGATGGAAGACCCCCGCTTGCTTGTTTTGCTGCCAAACTGACTGTATACTGTGTACAGCACTCACCCAAAAATGATGGGGGGTTGCTTCCTAGTGATGAAACGTTGACAGCTCAGTCACATCCGAGGCTGCAGATCCACTGGGCCGGTTGTCAGGTTGCCACGGCGACAGCGGCTGGGCTGAGAATCACACCTGTGCGTCCCCCTGGAGTGACCCCTCACTCATCCCCTGCAAATGTTTGCGTGTCGGCCTTGGTCATCTGTTTTATGAGCAAAAGTGTGTGTGCGGGTCTAAATCAGATTACTGAAGCATCATCATCATTATCATCACCTCTTTTCTTCCTCCTCCAACTCTAGTGAGGACCACCGGGGGTAGCTGAGATGTTGCACTCTCTCTTTGGAGCCTGCTGGCTGTGGACATGATGCGTTCACGGGCACCTGGAATCAGTCGGAACTCCCGATTAGCGTTATCAACACTTTCCCACCCGACAGCGACGAGCCGCGCACGCATCCCAAAAAGGTAAACATCCACATTTTTGCAGCATTTGTTCTCTCTGGGTTCGGTTCAGACTCCGTCTTCGACAAAACTCTTGGGTGTGAATCCACAGTGAGGTCCAGTAGAGTCGGGCACCGAACCGGCGTCTCCTTCCGCAGACCGATTGCGATTAAAGACGGCGGCAGGAAAAGAGAGAAGAGTCGCTTGCTCAACGGATGCGCATCTCCCTGGAGGGCGGAGATGGCGCGTGAGATAGACGAATAGGGGGGAGCGGGTTGGGGGTTGAGGAAGCACCGCCTACGAGAGGCGACGGAGTCCGCCCCGCGAGTGCTCTCCTCTTGCTGGAGGAACCCCACCGCGCCCCTTAATTGGAAGGAGATTGGAAGTGTGCGATAGAGCTCAAATTACACCCCGAGTTAGTTTAATCTCCCACACTGATGCGAAAATCACTTATTGCTACTTTCTATTTTGCATTTGTGGGGGAGAAACTCTGACTGACATCCCATGTCAACACGACAGGTCTATCAAAGATTTTTCCACTGCCCTAAAAATAAAAGTGCAGAGAGTAGACACGTCTACCTGGCAATTCTCAATGTAAACTATATTTGTTTGGCACATTCAATATGGCACCTGATTCAAATAAGCAGTTCATCAGCAAGCTCTGCAGGAGTCTAAGGCTGCTTTATTGTCACTAGGGTCGCCGGGCAGCTGAATTAAAGATTTCAAAACAAAAAATACAATTTTAAATCGATTTTGTCCTCAATTGGAAGCCAATGGGAATACTTTAAAACTGGAGTGATGCACACATACCTGTTTGGTTTTTATAGAATTTGAGCTGAAGAATTTCAAATAAATTGACATTTGGAGTGCTTTATCTGTTAAGCCAGAAAAAAAAGAGCAGGACAGTAATCGAAGCAACTCTAATATGTTCGTTAAATGATAAAACGCCATTTTAGGAATAGATGAAATATACTTTTCGAAATTGAGATCCTCATCAAAAATTACACAGAGGTTTCTGACATACTCAATGGGTTTTATATAGAAGGGAGTCAAAGGCGATGAAACCCGATGTCTGAGAGACTCCCGGCAGAGACTCCCCAAAGAAATCTCGAAGTTCTCCTGTGTTGAGAAATTTCTCTGTCATCCAGTATTGGACATTACATTAGCCACATACAATTATGTGTCATTAGTACAATATTGATACTCTATAGTTGATGCTGTTGCAAAATAGAACAAAGTGAGAGAATGTATCAATTAAATAGGAGAAGCCCAAGAATAGATCCCTGGGGAACACCACATGGAAAAAAAGAATGCATAAAATTTGCTAGACTGTGACAATTGCTTTCAGTGCAACATAACTGGTGGCAGGTAAGTCAAATTTCACACCAATCCCACATCAACTCTGCTTGGCTGTGGTTCAATGCTTTTTCAGATTGTGAAATCTTTGCAGAACGCTTTTGGAACTGTTGAGCATTCATTAATTCACGTGAAATTTGCTCTAAATGCTGATATAAAAAAATAGCTCATGTTGTTTTCTAATTGGAAAAATTAGCCTCAAATAATTCCCATAGTGTCCATTTACTAACAGTAAGATGTCCACTTACACTGAATTAGACTCTGGGGTAGGATGGCCTGCTTTGGCCCCTTCAAAGGGCAAGTCACTGGAGCACTTTTATTTATAAGCCAATATTGGGACTATCACCTTCAAATATTTGTGCCTTAATTATTTAGAGAAATGAGGAATCCTGGCTGTTCTGTGTAAACGTCATCATAATCATAACAGTGAATGATGATGAGTTTAATCACACCTAACAAGTTGATTTTACATTGTCAGCAACGTAATTGACAGTGGTCGAACTGCACTCCTAAATATAAACTGCGACTAAGTGACACATCTCCTTTCTTACTCTCTTTGCCTGCCATCTTCGACACAACATCGCCATGGAAACTGATAACAGAATCACTTTTCTGCAAAAAATAAAAAATGAACAAGAACAAGAGCTTGGATGATGGGCAAGGGTGTATTTTTAGAAGTGGAAGGGCACGCTGTGTGGACAGCACGGCCCACTGCTTTCATCAACTTTTAACACACACACCAATAAATCTTCAAAAATCAAATACATCAACACTGCCTTTTAGTCCATGTTATTTGCATTATTTTTTTGCTTCTTAAATCAACCGTAAGCCTTTAATCACGCGCATCTCCATGGAAACTGATAAAATAGCTTGCCTGGAACATTAAGAAAAAAAAAAATAGTCCATGCATGGACAGTTGAGGGTTGGAGGGTCCAGTAGAAAGAAAAAAAGAAAATCTTGAGGACCGGCTGAGACATGAAGCGAGAGATTGCATTCACTCATGACTGAATTGAACATGCAAACAACCTTGAAGTGAATTAAAATGGCTGTCAGTTGACATATTTTGTAAACATTCTCATCAGTTCACACGCATTACAGTCTAACTATAGGTCCACGAAGGCAACATCGGGCATTTAATGACTAGAGACCGACGTGGGTTAGAAGGATTGTAAGGGAGGGGTGGGGGTGGGGGGGGTGTACAAGGGAAGAGAGTACAGCACAGTACACCACCTACACTTCGTCGCCATGGCAACTGCCACACTGGAACGAGAGGGATAACGCCGTTCTGCCAAGTGCTTACTCGGTTGGGCAAAAGCTGAGTGTTGTGGTTGGAGGTGAAATTTAATAGAATTAAATGATGTGATTGTGACTGGAAAACAATACATGCGAAATGCAGAAGAGGCACGTGACTTGTTAGTAAGAAAAAAAAAATATTACACACGTTTCCCATTGAGATCACTTGGAGTAATTTGATCCAAACTGTTGTCATTATAAATGCTTTATTAACTGTACTGACTATGCTGAAGTCAAGTCACCAGTCACTTAAGACCCAAATGAAAACACCAGTCAACATATTTGTAATTTTTTTTTAATCTGATGCAAGTAAACTTTTGCTGATTTTTTTTTTTTTTGCACCGATTCCTAAGATGCCCTCATTTTTTTTTTTTTTTTTTGAGCACATCAGGTTACTACGAATAAAATAGAATAGAGCAATATATTAGAATTAAGGATTTGGTTCAGTGAGTGCTGGATTTTTTTTTTCTGGAATGTCACAGTTATAAATGATAAGCTATGGTAAAATCCGTATTGCGCATACTTCGATGGGTCAAACTTAAAAACCAACAATGAAAACTGATGTGCTGTAAAAACTTTTTTTTTTTTTAAATCGTCAAAAATGCATTTAGGGACACATAAAGCATCTCAAAATCAAACTTTCCTGTTGACCAGCTTTGTTGCATCCACACAACATTAAGCCAACACCAACAGATTTCAGATCAAAGTCCGTTGAATGCAAAAAGTTGGTCAACACCGACTGGGACAGTCAGATCAATCCACCAATCACGGAAGAGCCTTACCAAAGTCATTTATCCACAAAAAAGTGTTTGTGGTTTGCGATGTTTTCCATTCAACCTAATTGATGTTGCGGCACCAAGCAGTTAGATGATGATGATGCTGATGATGATAATTGCACTGGCGCTGCACTGTCACAACACACGAATCAATTAGCCAAGCTGGGGGAAGCATTTCTTTCTGTTCTGTCACCGTGACGACATGTGCTTCATAATCACCATCATCATCATCTAAAGGGAAGATGAGCTCACCTTCAAATGCTTCACTTGCATCATAACAAGCGAGCGCCGGACTGACAGAACATTGACATGTTTGGCTCCGTAACATCAAAATAATCCATTTTAATCACATTTTCTTCGTCAGTAACCAGGGCGACAGAAAATAAGAAAATACCTTTTTTGGGGTGAGAATCCAGATAAAGGTGCACAATCTAAAATTCATTCAGAGGTACTGAGCGCTGCTGGGAATAGCAGAAATCTCTAAGTAATTGACACCATGCCAAACGAGCCTAATAGTTGCCTATACCTGGAGATGTCCCAAGATGGTGACAAAGCACTACTTTAGTCTAAAGTCTAAATGAAGCTCCTCAATTCCCTTAAACATAGTTAGTTTTTTTTTTTTTGGGGGGGGGGGGGGGGGGGGAGGAGGAGTTGTTTTAAAGGCCCAGACACCAGTTTCACCAATTAATACAAAACTGGGCATGCATTTTCCACATATTCTTCAAGGATTTTTGCTATTAGCAGCAGGCCTCTGTCCCGATTCCTGTAATGGGAGTGCACTCAATCCAGTTGTAGGGCAACCTTGTAGCAAATGTTAAAAATGTTGTTGCTACATTCTTTGATTGGGGTAAAAAAATAGCACCATCAGTCTAATGAAAAGCATGTACCGCCACATTTGTGGATTTGCACGTATGAATAGCTTTATCCAAAACATCAGACAATATTTTTTGTTTTTAGGGGAACCCCCCCACCTACTAAATTTACAATTACTTGCTTTTCAATGGGACATTTACCATTGCATAATTACTCCCACCCGAGAATGTACAGAGTTGTGTAAAAACTAAAGTTCATTAACTCCAAGTTTTATTTCTTGTAAAAAGGTCATATTTTCACAGTACAAAAGGGTAGTTTACTAAAAGAACCCCCCCCCCGCAAAAAAAGGGGAGAGAATGGGAGAGAGAGTTCAAAAGCATTAGTTAATCCACTCAATTTGGAGCTGTAGTTCCAGAAATTAATCTCCAGAATGAATCCCCCGTCCATTGTGCAGTTTTTATAGCTGTAGTGTTCCCATGATGAAAGAAAAAGAATCCCATTTATGTGGCAATTGCGCTCTGCTTGGCTGCCATCCTGTGGCGTGTGCCTCTCGAGGCTGCGCCGCGTCCCGTCATCCCTCCCGACGCGTTGGGGAAGCCGTGAATGGCCACATACTTACGGTAGGCCTCGCGGATGATGCGGAAGGCCCTCGCGTTTGCGTAGGGGATGTCGGTGACTGGGTCTCGGTACATTGCCGTCTTGTGGGTGACGGGGCAGATTTCCTGCACGGGGACCTGTGGACTTGCCTGAGCGCTTCGAGGGAACGCACATTCGAACGCCTCGTCGTCGCTGAACGTCATGTAGGTGCGTGAGCAGAGGCCACCGGTAGGCTGCTGAGACGGCGTGGCGGGATTGGGCGGCACCGTTGGAGCGACATCCTGGTCCAACCTTGAGATAAAAAAGCAGTCATTGTTTCATACTCATTTTATGAAGAATGCAATCAAAGTGCAATCAAGTTTCTGCCAATCTACAACACAAAGTATGTTAAACTGCATGAAAAACACTTCCTCTTTTGGTAGGAGAAAGAATCCCAGCATAAGTACAGTTCAATTGTATTAAACTGTTAAGAAAAATACTTTTCAGCTTTAAGGACCATTTCAGGCAAGGTACGCAGCAGATGTGCAACCCAATACTCCCAAATACAAATTCCTACAAATGAAAAATTACCGCAGTCAAATTGCATAAGCAGTCATATTACTGTTTTTTGTTTTTTTTTTTTGTTATATGATGATATAAAAAGGGATTAAGCACTCAAAGCATCCCAAACAAAATTGCTTCCGGTGAGCAGATTACAAAAAAAAAAAAAAGTTCATACAGGTCAGCGTGGCAAACATACCCTTCGACGTCTACGTTCTCCTCTTTGAGAAGTGACGGCGAGACGAGGGGCATCAGGACAGAGTGGTAGCGGATGGTGGGGCCCTCGAAGCGGCGCTTCTTGTGGACTTGCTTCTTCTTGTCCGCTTCCAGGCGCTCATAATTTTCTACACGAAGAATCAAATGTCGTAAATGGCCAATCAAGTGGCTAATATCCAACACTAATTACAAATCCAAATTAAGAGTGAGTGTGTGTCACCCTTTAAATGAATGTGCATGCATGTGATACCAGAGATTAATGTACCCTGAGGACCAAGCCCTCAACACAGTCAAATTTCAACAATGCTGTATTTTGACAAAAACATGTCACAGACGTCTGGAAACAGTGGGTAATTTGAAACCACCCATGCAAAAAAATAAATAAATAAAAAGTTAAATGCTTAAATCTAGCACAAGATGGCAGCAAATCACTACTTTGCTATTACCCACGGCTGACTATAACTTAAGCTCCTCTTCTCACTTCAACATAGCTCCTGAATTATAAAAAAAAAAAAAAAACTAAAAAAGTTGGTACCCAGTGAACGAATGTTGAGCTCAGCAGTGATCTTGGCCTCAGCCAGCAGCTCATCTTGGGTGAGAGGCCGGTCACGGTGTGCCCCCCGGCGGCGCCGAGGGGCATCCTGCCGCTCCTGCAGTCGCAGGTTAGTCTTGCGGGTGTGCTCGCTGGTGGACTGGCGCACTGACTTGCGGCCTACAAGAGAGACAAAAAGCTGTTTAAGGAGTTCAAAACGTTTTGCAAGGAGTTTTTCCATAGCTCTGAGTTATCACATATATTAATTTTGTCGACATGCAAAAAAGTGTAAAGGAGGCGATGGTGGGAAGTTGTGTCAACGCCTGTCACGACAACACATTTTTTCAAGACTAAATATTTGACCAGAAAGGACCGCGATAAACAATATCATTTTTTTAATGCCACTGATATAAAGATGATGTTCGAACAAAAATCCTTGAATTACATCAATATCAACCGCATTCGTGTTCGTGCTTGTGTATGTCTGAGCTTGTATGCATGCATGCATGCATGCATGCGCGACAACTTCAAACAGCTGCGAGGAGGTTGACTGACAGAGGCGGCAACAAAGCAGCGGGAGCGAATGTTGATGACGTTTTAAACAAGCATGCATGCAAACGACCATTTATCCAGTCTGGTAATAGAACAATTGTGTCCGTTTTTCTTTCTCATAGAGTGATAAGTCAATATAGTAATTATCGCAACAGGCCTGGCCGTACCACCATAGTCCTGAAATTCTTGTGGAATTCTCCGCTTGAGCTCCGCTTTGGGTTTCTTCTCTGTCTTCTTTGTTTCCTCTGATGGTCTTTTGGGTTTGGGCTTGGGCTTGGCCAACTTGACGGGTTCCTGTATGGAACGCACAAATAGACAGCACGAAGTATGAGTTTAAAAAAAAAAATACTTCGTCACTGAGCGTTGTCCAATAAAAGCAAATCAACATGGACATTGAAAAATAAACTGCTGTGCCCATGAGAACATTGTCGCGAGCATAACCCGTCTCTGGGTGGAGCCGGCCCCGGAATCGAACAGATGGCTTTTTTTTTTTAATTTTAAACATCAGTCTAGTTTTTTATGAAGTTAGGCCTACTACATAGCAGTTTTTTTCATTGTCATGATGGTAGTACTTGGATGCATACATTTTTTGTAAAATGTTTGAAAATGTTAGATCCACCTTATACGCTTTAGTAACAACTCGACTCTTCCTCCGAGGCGCGTCATCCTCCTGGGCGCTGTCCGGCTCGTCTCCCTCATCGATGTCAAAATCGCTGTCCACCTCGTCCTCTGTGTCCGAGTGATCTTCGTGGTACTCGTCGTCTCCTGATTCCTTGTATGGCAGGAAAAAAAGAAAAAAAAAATCAAAAGTAACACAGTACAGATGTGAAAACGCAGTAAAGTAGGCCCTTGTCCTCAGTGTTTTCTCCCATCCCAACCAACAGCAGGTACACTAAATATCCTCAGGGGGCGTGGTTGAAAGTTCAATGAGTCCTGAAATATGCACGGGAGTTTTCTATTAAAATATGAAAAAGCAAAACTTTGAATAACATCATTCCCATTAACTTTTTCTGTGAATAAAGGGGGTCAAATCTTTATTTCAAAACACAATTGTAAGACCATATCTTTCAGTCCTGATGTGTCCCTGATTAGGTTAGACCAGGGGTGTCAAACTCATTTTTGTAGTGGGCCATATTGTATTTACTTTTTCCCTCAGCGGGCCATTATAACTGTGAATTTGGTGAAACCATATAAATGTACGATCACCTCCACAGATTACATATACAGTGCGCAAGAAATTGGTGGATAACTAGTTTTGAAATCAGAAGTCAAGAATAATGGTTAGTTCAGCCATGGTTTGCATTAATGTAATAAGTACGTAATGAGATAATACTTGCAATGATGGATTACATATGACAATTTTAAATTTTGGTTCAGACTATAGCATGCATCATGGAAAACTTGACATGCTTGATTTGCTCTCGCGGGCCACACGAAATGATATAGCGGGCCAGAGCTGCCCCCCAGGGACTTGAGTTTGGCACCCGGGGGATTAGACCTTACATCGTTGAAGCCTCCGTAAGTGGTCTTGTAGAATTCATCCTCCTCCTCGGCGTCCAGCAACTTGGACATGCGATTCCCCGCAGTCTTTCGGGGCTCGCGGTGAACCGCAAGACTCATTTTCTGCATTCAATATCAAGCAAAGTTAGCAAAGCTACGAAAGCAAAGATAGCTAGCAAAGCTAACAAAGCTAACAGGGCTATCCGCCGGCTGTGTTAGTTAGCGCGGTACGCTACCACCAAATGTATTTATTCAAAATTCTGTCTCTTTTCGAGGCCGTAAAACTATCTTGTCGCATCCATTGAAAAGGAACTACGTTGGAATAAGCGTTTTTAAGTAGTTTACAGTGGACGAAAGTTTGTAGCTGTGGGCTAACATTTGCCGTCAGGTACCATTTTTCTTCCGGTTTGGCATCTGTACATCCGCTAAAGATAACTTGCCTTCAAAATAATGTGCTACCGAATTAATTTGGCTCCAGTGGCCAGTTAAATGGTTTACTTTATCAAAAACGTCAATTTTCAAACAAAAAAAAATATTATTAAAATTACATGCTGGCGTAGAGCTTGTTTAGCTCGTGTATTTCCGTCGTGATAGTGGTAGAGTGAGCGCAGTATGTTTTATTTTGAAATACAAGAAACATGCGTCAATGAACTCACGAAATTACAGACTGTACAGTATTTTAAAAGTTTATGAAATACTTTATTGGATTTCAAAGATTATTACATCATTCAGCATCAGACAAAAGATATGACAAAATATGTATAAAAAAAAGTTAAGCACGTCTCATTGACAATAATGTATGTTAAATTCACATTTCTTGAGAAAAATAGAATAGTTTAGGAGGATAATGATGACATATATATGCCTATATTTAAACAAACATAAGCAAATTGGGTTCATAATATACCGGTAATAATAATATTATACAAGGTAGAATTTTGCATGCATTCTTCTATTGGCACTCACTGTTTTTTGCATGCATGCGATGGAATGTGAATGGATGTATGGCTTATATATTTGAACTTTGCATGTTCTATAAGAAGGGTGGGCAACGTATGGTCTGTGGGCTTCATACGGCCCTCACCGACCCTTGTGACGATAAACGCATCAGAAACTACTATAAAACATTTTTTAAAATGTAATGAAAAGCCAAGATGATGATCTGAACTTTATTTGGGGTTAATCAGAGGCACTTTAAATGGTGGCATGTGTGTTTGTGGACTCCCATTTAATCTGAATCTTAATGTGACCAGTTAAATCTGAACACAGCCACATCCCACTTTTGAGAGGTTGTGCACGGTTCTGCACTCACATTATTTCAGTTGAATTGTGTACTTCCCCACCCCCCACCCCCCCTCGAAAAGAGTCAGCGTTTGAACTGGGCAATACTGAACCGCAGGCTTTCAACTTTTTATTCACATTTATGTTTACATAAGCTTCATTGTAAACCTGCTCGTCTCCATGTAGTTGCCGGTGCCGCCATTCCTGCTGGTGGCAGCGCTATGTGGCACATACGCAATGTTGGCGGTATGTTTTATCTGCCCTCTGCCCTTACTCCAGAAGAAGATGGCGACAAAACACAGGCCGACCGAGCTGAAAAACGACAGGAAGCCGATGGATGCCGCGATCAGCAGCGTCTTGACGTCAAACGGCGGCTCCTGCATGTCCGGCGACGAAGATGGCAAGGCGGCCAGCCGGCTTTTGAAGTGAAAGGGCTTCTTCTTGGTGAGGGCTCTGACGTGGAGCTCAACAGGCTGCGTGTCGTATCCCGCCGCATTGGATGCCACGCAGCGGTAAATGCCTGCATCCTGCGGCTGGGCGTAGCGGACCTCCATCGAGCCATTGGCGGCTGCCCGTATCCTGCCCGTACCCATTAAAGCTTTCCGCTTCGGGTCGAGCCAGGTGACAGATGGCTCAGGCTGGCCTTCCGCATTACAGTGCATCACTGCCGTGTGGCCCTGGTCCACACTTACCAGCCCAGGTTGGTGCAGTTGGACACGAGGGGGCTGGCACGTGAGCAGCTCCGCCATTTCCACTGCGGTGTAGTCCAGAAAATCCCATTGACCGAGAGCGCCGCACGTCGGCAGGCCTCCCCCAAAGTCCAGCGACGAACGTCGCTGCGTTAGCCAAAGCAGACGGCAGTCGCAGGCCAGCGGGTTTCCGTCCAGTCCAAGATGTCGGAGGGTGTCCACCGAGTGAAAGACGCCCTCCTCCAGGGTGCTCAGGAGGTTTCCCGACACGTTGAGCAGGCTCAGACGTGCCAAACCTTGGAACGTCGCCGTTTCAATGCGCCGCAGCCGTCCCCCAACTAGGCGGAACTCTTCTAGCCTGAGCAGGTCCCTGAGCTGGTTGCCTTGGATGTAGCTGATTGGGTTACAAGACAAATCAAGGTTTACAAGGTAGACTAGGTGATGTAAAGCAGCATAAGGAACAACGCTGATTTTGCAGTTTCGAATCGCAAGGGATGTAAGATTGAGGCCAACCAGGCTGTTTGTAGACAACGTCTCCAGTCTGGGCCAATCGGTGATGATGAGTTCCTTCAGCCGTGCCAGACCAAGGAAAGCATAGTTTGGCAAGACGCTGGAATCAAGACGATGCAGATGTAAAACGGTTAACCTGCCAAGGCGTGCAAAGGCCTCAGTGGGCACCAAGGTGAGGTTGCAGGCATCCAGGTGGAGCTGGCGCAGGTCAGATAAACCTGCGAAGGCCTGGCGAGAGATGAAGACAACATCGTTGTGCAGCGCTTCCAGGACGCGCAGGCCGGCTAAGTCTCGGAAGGTGAAATCCAGGAAGCCGAGGATCTCGTTGCGGCTCACGTCGAGCAGCCGTAGTCTCGACAAGCCGGCGAAGGCTCCGACTGGAAGCACCTTCAGACGGTTGCGAGCCAAACGTAGATCCAACAAGCTCCGCAGGCCCAGGAAGGCGTCGGCGTCGACATACGCCAAGTGGTTGTCGCTCAAGTCCAAGTCCTCCAGTCGCGTCAAAGCCCTGAATTGCTCAGGCGCCAGAGTTCTGATGGCGTTGTGGCTCAGGTTGAGTCCAGTCAAATCTAGCGGGAGGCGTTCTGGTACCACGGCGAGTCGGGCGTAAGAGCAGTTGATAACGGACACGGTTGTGCCGCAGTGGCAGTGGTGAGGGCACGACCCCAGCACTTGTGAGGTCACTGCCAAGCCGGCAGTCAGAACGCAAAAAGCCCCCCACTGCACCGTGTAATGGCGGCCTGCCTGCATGGGAGAAGGCTGGAGGAAACCGCATCAAAGTGAGAAATAATGTGAGAACAATGATCGGGTTTACACGCGTCAGCCACAACATGAGGTACCACTGTCTCATATGAACAATTCATCACAATGACAACAGATTTTTAAAATCTTGACTATCTTAAAATATGTTGATACAATGACATAGCTAAATAAGGAAACCAAAATTGATCAAATATATGATTTATAATGAAACATATTTCAATAAAATTGTCATTTCTCACATAGACATGGTTATTACACCCCGTGTCAACATGATTCAATAAATTACAAAAATAATGAAACACACACGGCTTACACTAGTTTGAAATAATGATAAAATATGAGCGTAGTATTACAATTATTTTCGCCTTCCATGTCAACAAACGTAATGTGGAAAACAGTTTTCAGTTAGATGATGCGTACTTCTCTACACACTGAAATTAATTATTGCAATTTTGATTTAAAAAATAAACTCTCAAATACAGTTTTGTCTGTGTTCTGTTTATTTCGATAGATTAAATGTTGTTAAATATATCTGATAGGTTGCACTACAAACAATAATAATAATAATAAACAGAGCCAAAAACCCCACTATCTATGCATGTATAAGAAAAGAAAGCAGATAAAAATAAGATATTGTGACTCACCGGTGCTTCAGCGCGGATGCCCTTTCATGATGATCACTCCATCTTCGTGTTGTTGCACGGAAGAAAAAAAAAAAAATTGCCGATGAGGCTTTCTTTACAAGCGCAACAAATATGAAAATAATTAAACTAGAAATCACCTTCTGCCCTTTAGGAAACGGTGAAACGAAGCGGCATCCTCATGGCAACAACAACGAGGAGGAAGCGAAGACGCTGGTTGGGTGCATGCTGGGGGATTATATGTGCTGCCTGGTGGCCTCGATCCAAGGCTGGATGTGACGAGGCAGGCGCAGGTCATCCAAATTAGGAGCATTTCAGGACTTTTTGGAACTGTGTATTAGACTTTATCAAAAGTGCATTTATCCAGATTTACACAAAATACATGCCCCAGCTGTCTAAGTGGATCATATGGCCCTGGGGTCAGAACATAAGTGTGCATCAGAATTTCCGGCTTTCCGGTTGCCTCTCTCCTAACCAAGCATGATGGCATAATACAAACCGATCACAAACTACGTTGCCTAAGTGGATCAAAGATTCGTTTCTGCAGGTCCCTGTGCTTGCCTACTGTGTGAGTGCCAGTGTAGAGTCGGCGCTGAGTCAGCAACTCGGCCATCTGCTACCTCCGGGGACCCAGCCGCTCTCCGTCCGTGCCTGGATTTTGAGAGCGGTGGGTCCGACTCCACCGGCAGTCCTTGCGTAACAATGCCTTCATGGTCACGAGATTGTTTCCCGGTCGTGATGGCGTCGAAAGTGATCACACAGGACTATATTTGGTGGTAATACGTCAGCACAGTAGCTCATATTATCAGCAAATAAAACATTTTAAAAATGTTGCCTCTATCATTAATAGATAATAATAATTTAGGACCTACTACAGACCCTTGAGGTACCCCATAAGTCACCTTTAGTAGTTCGGATTTGTTTTTGTATTTCACCACTGATCACATTACCTCTGCTCGATACTTTGCAAATTGTCTTTCGATACTTATTTGTCATGTCCTTGTTTATCGTAGTTGCTTGTTATGGATAATACTAGTGTAGCCTGTACTACCGGAGACAAATTCCTTGTGTGTTCTACATACTTGGCCAATAAAGATGATGATCATCATTATTATTATTAAACTGACATATCCAAGTAACTTATTATCAATGCCGGTAGTTATCCCTTCCACAATTTTCATATACTGCCATTGATTTAGTCCTTTATGTTCTAAACCCATATTGATTTCTTTACTTCAGAGACTATGTTTCTCAATGGTGAAACCGGCAATTATAGAAAAAGTGCATGGATATGGAGGAAGCATCCAGGCTCCTTTCGGTGTCAATAGTACATTGAATCAATGCATACCAGACTGACCTCTAGTGGACAAAATACATTAGTGCAAATGGCAAAATACCTCACTGGATTTGACAACCAAGCAATGTAGAGCGGCTCAAATCTGTTTTTACGCTTCATTTAATCCAGCAAGACCTGTGCCAATCAGTGAGGGTTTTGCGCATTCCTGTACTGCACAATGCATAGTCGAAGTACCTCTTGAAGATACAGTGCAATTTCCAAAATTGATGAATAAACAAAAATTTCTATCACAGACACTGGGTAAGGTGTTTCGGCGGTGCTGTTCTGATAAGGCAATCAAGGTAAAACATAAGAGAATACACAATTTATGGTAATAATATATATCAATTTATTCTAAGAAATCATTTTGGAATTGGTTGTAATATAACTGCGCATAATTTAACATGTTTTAAATCAAAAAAATAATTAACATGAAAAATAGATGGAGAACATTTGTTTTTAAAGATACAAATCTAAATATGAATAAATGAAAAGTATTTTTTTCAATGTCATGCAAAAACTCAAATTTTTGAGGTTGTTAACATTTTTAGGTCAGAGGGGACCATGCAAAATTCAACAAACATCAGCAACCCCCGCCCGACCCCCCCCCCCCCCAAGAAAAAAAAACAACAGCGAGGTTGATTTACGCCAAATATGTAAGGTGTGTTTAAATGCAAAAAAAAAAAAAAAAAAATCAAGTTGCTAAAAACACTTCAAGGTCAGGAAGGAGCATGCAAAACCTCCATGCAAACCAGGAGGCAAATCAGTATTCCCAGTTTTAAATTAAATAATAAAATCCAATATAGATATAAATGAATGACTGAAAAAATGTTGGGGGTGGAGGGGGGGAAGAGCAACAGAGTCATTGTTGGTTTGTCTCAGAACACTTTTTTAAGGCGCATCCCACACAGTGTGTACATCCAGAGTCCTCATCTGACTGTGTGTGTGTGTGTGTGTGTGTGTGTGTGTGTGTATTATATATATAATTTTTTTATATACTAAATAAAACCAATGCCAAAAATAATAATCTTTTTTTTCATAGCAGCAATACAAGAGGAGTATTCAGTATATTTACAACAGTTTGTAGATGACAAGGCATATCATAACACTTGCGTTCCCATTCTTTCAGTATTTTCATTAAATTTTATACATGTATGTATCTATGTACGGTTTCTATTTCAACAGAGGCATCTTAGTTGACTTTACACCACACGGAGCCACAAATGTGATCTTGTTGGAATAAAGAAATAAAACGTGCATGTGTGTGTGTGTGTGTGGGGGGCGGGGGGGGGGTGGCAAGAACCAACCCATTAGATCAAGTAAATTAAAATTAAAAAAGTATGATAAATTAACAAAGCAAATCCCAAACAAAACCAAAACTAGAAAAGGTCAAATGGAAAAAACTAAAACAAAGACAAAGTAGAACCATTACCAAAACATTTTAAACTGAACAAAATACAGTAAAATAAAAGTGAAAGCATCCCGATGGAAAGCATTTGTACGGCGTCGGCCAGCGCCCCATCACTAAAAATCCCAACAAAGAAAAAGGATTTCCCCAGAAATTGCTTAACATTCTTCAGCATGTGACCAACTACCAATATATTTTCAAAAATAAATAAATCACTGGATGGAATCCAAAGTCATAACTGAAGCTCCCAGCATGCTGAGCGAGCGCCGCGAGTAACATTGTTAACATTCCAGACGACGGCTGAAGGCGAGGTGAGGAAATGAATAAACGGGACCCTCAAGTTTGTAATGAGAGGGGAGGAGGGGGATGAGCCATGTCGCTGTGGAGGCAAACTCCAACGCTGAAAAGGAATATCGTCATACAATGACCAGAATAGAAGAATAATATAACGGTTCTGGTTCTTTTTCACCAACTAATTTTTTACGTTACTTCTGAGGTCCCAAAGCAAGAGCAAATTGTTACTTCTTACAGAAAACCTCAGAAAACACTTTGACGTCGTAGAAAGCGACTATCTCAAACGCACTCCCGTATGATTTTTCCCTCATTTCCTCGCGCCACTTTCCTCACGCCTGATTGGCCAGAATGCAGAATGACACCACTCAACGCTTCTCAAGTTCATCGTTTGTTACGTCCAGCATTGGGAACGTTTGGAAATTGACTTTTGCATTCTGAGAAATTGACTTACAGCGTCTTTGCACGCACCCCATCGGCCATTTTGTTTAAATTCGACACACGCAGCTTGGGAAGAGCGTGATTCTAAAATAATGAGTCAAGACTGCATTTGTGTTAGTTGGTCACGGCAGAGGAAAGGAAGGCCTCCGCAAACCGAGGGTCTCAAGTACTATCACTTTAAAATGACTCTCTTCCAGGATTATCAATTCAAAGAGGATATTGATCCCACCTGCATGCTTAGATAACATGCTAATCAGCAAAACAGTTGCAAAACGTCAAGGTTTAAGTGCATTCGTTCTTCAGTTTGTAAGGGCACAAATCCAACAAGTAACAAAAAAACGACCGCAGCGTTTTCAAACTCCAATGTAACAACTGTCGTCCCCATCAAGGTTTCAACATTTTCAGTAACAACGTTCACATTGTCGCTGTAAAAAAGAGGATATATCGCCAGAGGAAAAAAAAAAATCTCGTTTTTTACAATAAAAGACGTGCATCGTAAACCAGATTTGTTTGTTTTAAAAATACGCATCCAGATTGAACAAAAGATGCACTGTGTATTGTAAAGCACATGACAGATTTAAAAATAAAATAAAGCAGCTTTGGAGCATTTTCTATAAAAACATTTCAATCAAAATTATTTTGAGAATTTCAAGACGTGAGTTTTTTTGGGGATTTCCCCAAAGATTTAAAAAATATTGCTCTTTTGAGTTTTCCCAAATAATTGGTAAAATATGGAAAAGAAATCTTTGAGCTGGAAAAGAAATCTTTGAGCTTTGGGTAAAAAGGGACAAAAATGGGAAGAAAGATGCTTTTTTGTTTGTTTTTTTAAAGGATGACATTCTTGTCCCTCAGACACTGAAAAATAATTTTATTTTTTTAAAAATGTTTCATAAAAACTGGATGTCAGGTGTAAAAAAAAAAAAATTCGGGGGTGGGGGGGGATTTCACAATCTTTCATGTTTTCCAATGAAAATATTTTTCATTCAAAATATAAAAATTCTCTGGGGAAAAAAAAATTTACAAATGAATGTACAGTATTTGAAAATGTAAAGCTCAGCAAAATAGTTTACGATGCCTAAATACATAGAAGAATCCTGAATAATTAATTTCCCAAAATGTTTTGAGTTTTCATTTCATCAAAAAAAAAAAAAATTAAAGAAACAACTATTTGGAGATGCTTTTATACAGCGACAATGCCCCCCGGCCCCCCATTTTATGTTTTTGTGTGTGTGTGTGTGTGTGTGTGTGTGTGTGTGTGTGTGTGTTTTCCAGTGGAATTCCAGCAATGTATGCCTTCCTAATATCTTAGTAGGGCCCATTAAGAACAGTTTTTTGTTTTTTTTTTAATGCTGACAGCTCAGCTGATGTGCAGTTAAGTATGAGTAAGAGCCATCGTGCCACTTGCATTTCATAAAAGCTAACAAGAAGAAGCAGGAAAGAGAGGAAAAACACTCTGGTCCGCTAACATGCAGCATTTTTTCCAATTATCAAGAGGTCGTGCATTTGGGATAATAATGCCCCGTACATTGTGTGTGTATTTTTTCATGTGTGTGTGCGTGAAGGCGCTCTCTATTGTGGAATTTCATTCTGAATTGTATCCTGAATTTACCCTCTGGGTGTTAATTCAGGATATCTTATGATACCGTCAGCTCATGCTCCACGTTGGCCTTCTGTTGTCGTGGAATGACAAGATTTGGACACCCTTTGCAGTCCCTGTTTTCTTATTACTGTATTCTCATTCCTATTCTTTTGTTTTGTTTTTGACCCACAAGTAGGCTTCGGGCTCTTGTTTTCAAGTATGAAAGTTCATAAAGAGTCTTAAAGCTTCATCTGAACAAAACATTTCTGTCCACAATGAGGAAGAAGCACTTTTTTTTTGTTCTTGTTATCAACGATTGCAGCTTCGAGGTGGTCGGTAACGTTGGTGTGTGTGTGTGTGATCAGTCCCCGTGAGGTTGTCTGTCCAGGCATCAACCCGTAGAGGCCCTGAGAGGCAGACCAACCCCCTTTTCTTCTTCTTTTTTTTTTTTTTTTTTAACCTGCCGAGCACTCCCATTGGAATTGGGACGGAGCAATCCCAGAACGGAAGGATTATTATTATTATTATGATATTGATGATTGCACCTTTTTTTACTCGTGGCCAATCACAGTGCTGATTCATTCTCCATGTGACAGGAAGTGGCGGTGACAGTGATGGTGGTGTTGCCTGTCTTATTGAGTTTCAAGAAGCTGTTTTTTTCCTTCGCTTTTTCACTTGGATCGGCCAGCGCCTGCTTTTCCGAAGTTTTGGACGACCCCGCCTCCCTGCCAATCAAAAAGCAAAAATAGTTAAGATGCGTTAACATTTCTCAGAAGAAAATAAATGGAATGACACAATGGGAGAGCGTGCCAGCAAATCCACAAATAAAATCTTAAACGTAACCGCCTCTTGTATTTGATTTGAAATGTTGTTCAAAAAGTGATTGACAGTCAGAGAGGTATGTATTTTTACATATTAACTTACAAGAAAGAAAATATATATTTTTTAAAGTGTGTTGAACTGTGCTGAAGTGCATTTTCTAATGTTTTGCAATGACAATGAATCTGGAAACGACCCTGCAATAAAGACTTCGCCAGCAGTATTTTACTATGAAATTAAATTAGCAGTAACAAACAATTAGATGGCACCTTGGTTGCACCCCCCCCCCGCCCCCATCTTCAAATTTCTTGGCCTTCAGTTCAATTTTATTTGCAAAATTATGCTAATATATTTTCTTACCCGCTATTTGAGGGATAAATGACCAGGAAGCAAGCAGTGAGGAATCCCAACAGAGAGCCCCCGGAGGCCACGACGGGAATGACGCGTACACTGCCGACCACTTCCACGATGGAACCCAAAGCCGAGGCCACCAGGATTTGGCTGATGTACACCTATAACACGTGAATTACAAAGGTATAATCAATATATACTGGAGCATGTCGTAAATATATCGATGTGAATGAAAATAGTGCATAAAACGAGCCCCACTTGGCAGGACAAGATGGCGCAGTCGATGCCAAATCCTCTACGGGAACTACCGGGACTGTGACTGGTGTACTGCAATGAAATTCATTTTCACACATTTTAGCACTCAGTAGCAGCCAAGACATGACAGCACATGGTTGTACGAAACATTTGGGAATGCCGGCAAAAAAGTGGAATTTATTGATTTTCCAAAATGTACCAAGTAACAGTTGAAAGTTGGAATGGTTTTAATCAGTCAAAAAAATGTGGGATGCGCAAGTAAATATGCAAAGTGGTTCCGAACTTGTCCAGAATTTTGTGAATCTTTTGAAGTTGGAATGGTTGTGAAATGCGGATGTCAAAAAATTGCGCGGAATAACTCTTACCGTATTTTCCACACTAAAAGGCTCACTGGATTATGAAGCATACTTTCAATGAATGGCCTATTTTGTAATTTTTTTCATACATTGGGCGCACCGCATCATAAGACGCAATCTACAATGCATCCACTAGATGGAGCTATGCTCAAGGAAACTCCAACAGAACGATCAGATGTCAGTAAAAACTTTTTCAATAAAGCAGCGACACAGTTCACTTAACCAACAGCAAGTTATAACATTGACTCGTTAACGTTGAACTCTCTTGCTGCTGTTCTATTTCCGTGTTCAACTGCGAAACCGATCGCCTTAAGTTTGAACTCTGCGCTGGAAGCATGTCTCTAGCAAGGAGCCATTTTGGGGTTGACATACAAGTATGACCGGAACAACCATACACAAGGCGCATCAGATTTTAAGGCGCGCTGTGAGCTTTTAAGAAAATGGAAGGCTTTTAGTGCGGAAAATACGGTAATTGTCGACCCACTGGGAAAAGTGCGGATGTGAAACCGCGTGGTTGTTTCAAGAACCACATCGCTCCACGAGTGCCGCATGCTTTTCAGTCGAATGAAATAATCCTTGCTGTTACCTGTTTCATTTCGTGGTACTGTCCCAGCAGGGCATAGGGACAATAAGAGATACTCATGGAGATGAAGCCCATGCTGCTGATCATCACCATGGCAACATACACATTGGGGAAAATGGCCATAATGGCAGTTCCTGTAATACAAAAAAAAGTGACACCGTTGGCTTGTCTTAAAATGCTCCGATTTTGATGACGGGATGTTGTTCTGACCGATGGAGAATCCGAGCGTTCCCAAGATGTAGATGACCTTGATGCTCAAGTCAAAGTTGTCAAGGTACTTTTGAAGAAGAGCTGCAGGAATTGGGAGTTACAGAAGGAGGTAACGCATCTACCGGTCTCATCCTGTGTGCGCGTTTTGTTACCTGAGCATGTCGCGGCGGTCATGGCGTATATAACGAGACCCCAACATCCCATCTGAACGCCTCTGTGATAGTTCGTCAAATCAGTGGAGTTAGCAGGAGCCTGCAAGTAGCACAGTTAAAAGCGCACTCATAAACCAGTGGTGGCGTTGATGCACGAGCGCCATCCATTTGCAGTCTGGACGTGGTGTGTCAAAGTCTTCTGAAAGTATCCAATAACACAACGAAAAAACACTGACTGTATTGAGGATACGCCATATAGATAATGGATGGATGAACAACACAAAAAGCCACTCATCTTTTTTGAATGTCAGAAAAGTTGTAAATAAAGCTAAAAAGTTGCCCCTCCTCCCCCTAGATGACATTAATTGAATAATTTTTATCTATTTTATAGTCCGTCTGTATTTGTGAAAGTAAAAATTTGAGATAGATGCCTTGCATTGAATCCTGAAAATGTCAGTGTGAAATCCTTTCGCTGCTTGTCAGTCGCCATTTTTCATAGTGTAGCACGCACGCTTGTGTGTAGCGCTCACAATGGGATCTCCGTGGTAGATAACTTGTCCCATGAAGTCAGTGAAGAAAACGGCTTCGGAAATGATGGAAAACCAGGTGAACAGGTGACAGGCGCACAGGCGCAGCAACTCGGGCGGCATCTTCAGCATGGAAAGCCACAGCAGCTGCACGGTGGTCTCCACCTGAGGAAAATGCAACGTTAGGCGTCACGACGAGCGGCAGCGGGGCGGACGGGTTTGGGAGTGGCGTCCGAGCCCCCTCACCTCGCCTTCCTCGCTCTCGGCGTCGCCGTTGGACGAGTTGGTGTTGCCGCTGCGGCGGCGGTCGCGCCGGCGGCTCCGACGCCGATGTCGCGCCTCCACCTCGTGCAGGTCGTTCATGCTGCGCGAAGGTTTGATGAGAAAGGCGGCGTTGGCCCGCCGGTAGCGGTAGCGGTGGCTGCCCACACGGCCGTAGTAGGAAAAGGTGCAAGATGGCTGACGGTAGAAGGTGTGATGGTGGCGTGAAAGCCGCACGGGAGCGCCAGTACTGGCTGCTGAAATGAAATAAACATCATATGCGGTTATACTGTACATACAGATGAACTTGTATGCATGAATATATACAGTAAATGTTCTTCTACTTCTTTTTTTTTTATCATTGAGGGGAACCATTACACTCACACAGGCAATATATGTACATACCCCACCTCCCACCCGTTAGCTGTGACAGGCTAAAGCGGATCCGCAACCCTAAAAAGGACTTGGATCGCTGGATGTAATAAGCATTAGCATTAGCACAAGTACCTTTGACCATTCCGGCCCGATGCACCTGTCCTTTGGCGCTCAACCCGTTGGCTGTGTTTTTCGCACCGACGCCTGCCAACAGGCGTCCGTTCAGGGTGCACTGCTCTTTCAGCTGGTTGTTGAGCAACACCTCCTGGCCCTCGTCATTCTCCATCTCCTGTAAGAATGCCGAGAGGCGGCATATCTTGGTGGGACTGCCATGCTGATTTGGGGAGTGGCTGCCGCTTTGGGGGCGCGGCAGATCCTGACTGCCTGCGTTGCTGCTGGGCCGCACGCTGGCGAGCCGACAAGGCGGCGTGCTACGGCTGGCGTGCAGGGGGTGCGCGGCGGAAGGGGGAGAGCCGTGATAGGGCGAGAGGCGGTCAGCGAAGATGGATGGCTCGATGTGGCAAAGGAACAAGGCGTCGGGGTCCATGTGCTCCAAGGTGGCGTCCGTCATGGCGAGGACGCTGTCGCTTTTACCTGCGATGAGAGCGAAGACAGGATGGAACATAGGGCACACTGATTTTACGTTTGTGGCATCATTTCTCTGTGAAAAAGCTTTTCGACTATTCCTTATGTGTGGGGCAGCTGTCACATTGCCATCGAAACGAGTGACAAATGGCTTTACAAACACATGACATCACCAGGAGACAAAATGAAAATGGGTGAGGGGGGGGGGCAAAACATACTCCTCACAAGCTCCACATCCAGGAAGTTCACGTCCATATCCCCGGGTGCGGACAGATCGTCCCAGTAGGTGTCGTAAAGGTCAAAGCTGTCCATCGTTTCGTCCTCGCCAATCATTTCCAGTCTCGGAGTGAGAAGTCCAGCTCGACCGTTGGATGAAGGATGTGGGTGACTTGGCACTGGACTCTCCTGCATAAACTGAGTATTAGATTTTAGACATGCACGCACGCACGCACACACACACACAAGTACCCGGTCCAGCCGGTCATGTAGAGGGATGTAGGGCTGCTCATCAATGCTGAGCAGATGCAGCACCACAGACACAGAGAAGAGGAGGGAGGCGAAGAAGAACAGGATCTGCTCCTGAGACTTAAAGATGGCTCCCAGGAAGGTGTGGGTCCAGTTGAGACCGCCCAGAGCATAGCCCACAGCGCCGCCAAGACCTGCGTATGGAAAAACACACAGTTAAATGGGAAGAGTTTTAATTTCAGATGGAGAAATAGTGGTAAGCGCATTACTTCGTCAAAATTGGCAAAATCCAGGGCCACAGCTTTTGCACTTTCAATTAACGGAGCGTGGCACCCCGATTACCGAAACACTTGTGATGTCATAGCCAAAAAGTGAGCAAAGCTGCATTACGTTTTCTTCGACGCGCAAATTACCATCAGCACGCCACACACAAACCCAATACAATCAACATTCTTGATTGAAATGAAGTGAAATGAAGAAAAAAAAAAACAACAACAAAAAACAGCATGTCATGTTGTCATAGGGATGCACTGATATATGCCCCGGTACTGTGACACCAACAGTACTTTACCAACTTGACATATACCTTCGGGGCAGGGGGAATAAATGCCATGTGGGCCACGTGGAGACGTTTTAAGGTCAAGGCAAATGACAACTCTTTCGCTGACTGCAAATGATAAATGATGCTTTTGCATAACCGATGATGAGTTCGCAATGAAAGTGCGCCGCCCCGCGAGCTGAGGCGGCGCGCCATCCAGCATGCAACGAGTTTCTCAAGCCCCGTCGCCTGCTCGGCGCTGACAGGTCCGCGGGGACGTCACTTGGTTGATCCTGCCAGTAGCACATCCATAGAATCTCAAAAGAGTAAACTCTGCAAGTCTCAGTACACATACACGCGGCTCATTAAATCAGTTATGGTTTCTTTTATCGTTCCCTCCTGACTTGGATAACTGTTACTATTTGCCCAGCACGGATGCTCCTCCTCCCTCGGGGGATGGGCGCAGCAGCTTTGGTGACCCAACATAACCTTGCTGGCCCTGCGTGGTGACGACTTCTGAGTGGAATGTCTGTCCAATCAACGTTTGATGGCTCTTTCGCTACATGCCAGGGTGGATAGAGAGACAGGCTCGCAGCAGATAGTGCAGAGAACGCAGTTGGACCTTCTAATTTCCGTCGTGATAAATTGTGACTCGAAAAAGTGTTGCGTTGACAATTTTAGGGAAAACAAGATTTGATAAAAAAAAATAAAAAAAAAGAAAACATTTTCATCACAATTTCTAGAGTGTATAGTGTATCTAGTGTTGGTACTTGATATGGGAGGTAATCCAATCGAAGTATTTGTAATTGTACACGATCTGATAAAAAGTTGAATTGGTACCACCTTAGTTTTTGATCCTTGTGGAATCGTGATTAACTCATTCAGTACCACCCAATTCTGGACCAAGTCTGAAAAGACGTTTAAAAACGTCTTTGGGAGTGAATGAGTTCATGGCTGTCACCTGAGAAGTGGACATTGTCTAACCTTAAAGGCCGATTTGAGGGGTAACCCTTTAATTGGCATTACCTGCCGAGGCTCAACGTTTGATGGCTCTTTCGCTACATGCCAGGGTGGATAGAGAGACAGGCTCGCAGCAGATAGTGCAGAGAACGCAGTTGGACCTTCTAATTTCCGTCGTGATAAATTGTGACTCGAAAAAGGGTTGCGTTGACAATTTTAGGGAAAACAAGATTTGATAAAAAAAAAAAAAAAAATTTTCATCACAATTTCTAGAATTCATCAAGTGTTGGTACTTGATATGGGAGGTAATCCAATCTAAGTATTTGTAATTGTACACAATCTGATAAAAAGTAGAATTGGTGCAGCCTTAGTTTTTGATCCTTGTGGAATCGTGATTAACTCATTCAGTACCACCCAATTCTGGACCAAGTCTGAAAAGACGTTTAAAAAAGTCTTTGGGAGTGAATGAGTTCATGCCTGTCACCTGAGAAGAGGACATTGTCTAACCTTAAAGGCCGATTTGAGGGGTAACCCTTTAATTGGCATTACCTGCCGAGGCGGCGTGGATGTTGAGTGCCATGTCTTGGTCTTCGGTGTCGGCCACGTCTAAAAGGTACGCTCGGATCGGTCCCTCTGTTGCGTCGGCGCAGAAGTCCAACACCACCACTCCCAGCACGGTGAGAACAATTCCTATGGGCTGTCTCCCCGGAACGTCGCCCAGAGAAAGTCCTAAAACGGCGAGACGGGAGTTTGGAAGTTGAGAAAACACAATGAACACAGTTTTTTTTCCCGCGGAAGCCTCGAAATTATAAACCTTGGATGGCCGCGCTCCGCCCACATTAGACGGCATCGGAAAAAAAAAGTGCAAATTGCTTCTTTCCATTGGGGCTCATCAGAGTTCCTCAACCCCTGCAATGAGCCTAAATTGGCAGCTTTGTAACAAAATGGCCGACTGTGAATTCAGTTTCACTTCATGAGTCCTTGAGAATATTTTTTTTTTGTCTGTCCTTTTACAGTAGACATGACCACCAAATTTTATGTTCATCAGTGATCCAGGTGTTCAAGGTTTATTTTTTTTTCTTCTAAGTGACTATTAATAGTGAACTATAATGAATATATTATTCCAAAAATGTGTTTTCAGGAATGATCGTGACATTGGGCATGTCTTTGTGCGACCACTTGCGTGTGTACCTGCGTCTATCAGAACAAAAATAACGCAGACTATGATTAGAAAGATTTGTCACGTGTTTATAAATGTGCAATGTTTGTTTGTGAGATCACACAGACAGCGTGTGAATGTGTGTGTGTGTGTGTGCGTGTGTTTACAATGGAGTGGCACGACTCACTACCCACCAGACAGGAAGTGAGCCGTCATTGGTTGAAAGGGGGAAGCAAACAGGAAGTAGTTTCTTGTGAACTGCTTGCTCTTGGGTTCCCATGTCAACAAACGTCTCAGCAGGAGCATGAATATGAATCGACAATTGTTCGGGGTCCATTGGGGGTCAAATTTCTGATTGTCCATTTTAATGATTGGTTTCTTTCCAAAGGGGATTTTGTTTCTTGTTCATTCGTGCTTTCTGCATTGATTACAACTACTTTACAGGCGAGTTACACGGGAAGGCATTATTCCTTTTGAGGCCTTTACGTGTGTGCGTTTTTTGAAACATTATTTGACAGTTTGACATCTGGATTGCGATTTATATCAAATGAAAGCAGATTAAGAACAATTAATACAATGAATGGAACTGGTTGACAAATTGAGGTAAGACTGGAAAAAAAAACTTCACTAGTCGTTCTAGTGGTTGTTCAATAAAATCCGTAATATAAATAAAACTAGTGCACTGTAAATCACGTCTACTGAAAAGAACAAAAACAGGACAGCAGAGAAAACGATTCCAGCGTCCCAAACGGAACTACACTGGGGGCCGTCAATATCTGTGCCGCGTCAATCAAATCGGTCAATTCAAGGTTTATTTTATTTCCTTCTTAGTGACTATTAATAAGGAACTATAATGAATATATTTTTCCAAAAATTTGTTTTCAGGAATGATCGTGACATTGGGCATGTCTTTGTGCGACCACTTGCGTGTGTACCTGCGTCTATCAGAACAAAAATAACGCAGACCATGATTAGAAAGATTTGTCACGTGTTTATAAATGTGCAATGTTTGTTTGTGAGATCACACAGACAGCGTGTGAATGTGTGTGTGTGTGTGTGCGTGTGTTTACAATGGAGTGGCACGACTCACTACCCACCAGACAGGAAGTGAGCCGTCATTGGTTGAAAGGGGGAAGCAAACAGGAAGTAGTTTCTTGTGAACTGCTTGCTCTTGGGTTCCCATGTCAACAAACGTCTCAGCAGGAGCATGAATATGAATCGACAATTGTTCGGGGTCCATTGGGGGTCAAATTTCTGATTGTCCATTTTAATGATTGGTTTCTTTCCAAAGGGGATTTTGTTTCTTGTTCATTCGTGCTTTCTGCATTGATTACAACTACTTTACAGGCGAGTTACACGGGAAGGCATTATTCCTTTTGAGGCCTTTACGTGTGTGCGTTTTTTGAAACATTATTTGACAGTTTGACATCTGGATTGCGATTTATATCAAATGAAAGCAGATTAAGAACAATTAATACAATGAATGGAACTGGTTGACAAATTGAGGTAAGACTGGAAAAAAAAACTTCACTAGTCGTTCTAGTGGTTGTTCAATAAAATCCGTAATATAAATAAAACTAGTGCACTGTAAATCACGTCTACTGAAAAGAACAAAAACAGGACAGCAGAGAAAACGATTCCAGCGTCCCAAACGGAACTACACTGGGGGCCGTCAATATCTGTGCCGCGTCAATCAAATCGGTCAATCAATTGCTCGGATGTGGAGCATCCAACTTTGAAATGTATTGATTACAACTAGTTTACAGGCGAGTTACACGGGAAGGCATTATTCCATTTGAGGCCTTTACGTGTGCGCGTTTTTGGAAACATTATTTGACAGAATGAAATCTGGATTGCGATTTATATCAAATGAAAGCAGATTAGTCGTGGTGATGAGGGCATGGCAGTACAGACAGTGTACTATATCATCACATATTTGACTGTACAGTGTCCCGACTACATCGGTCAAGGTCCCGCAAGATGGCAGATTTTTAACTCAGTGTCTTTTTGTGGCAATGTGTTTTAATACAATGACTGAAACTGGTTGACAAATTGAGGTAAGACTGCCAAAAAAAAAACTTCACTAGTCTTTCTAGTGGTTGTTCAATAAAATCCATAATATAAATAAAACTAGTGCACTGTAAATCACATGTCTACTGAAAAGAACAAAAACAGGACAGCAGAGAATTCCCACACAGCAATGGGGAGTGACGAATGAACAGCTTGAAGCAAGCACTCTCAGCCCTGAATTTGGAGAACTGTGCGAGACACACAGAGTGGGGGGGAAAAAGGCACTAAAGAATATTTTAAAGTGCATTTTAATAAGTAAGTGTTCAAAGCTTGATATAGGAGTAAATTGCCCCTCCCCAAAAAAGGGGTCTCTCTAAATCAAATTTCACCCATTGCAGACATGCATGCGTTCACTGTACATACGCTCACCAGAGACTCACTTTAGTGGGTATGCAGCATCCGTTACAGAGTTCCGGCAAAACGGCCGCACCGGAGCTGTAACATGAAAGTGTTACTATCCGCTCACCTATGAGCGACCCGTCGACGGGGAGTGACGAATGAACAGCTTGAAGCAAGCACTCTCAGCCCTGAATTTGGAGAACTGTGCGAGACACACAGAGTGTGGGAAAAAAGGCACTAAAGAATACTTTAAAGTGCATTTTAATAAGTAAGTGTTCAAAGCTTTATATAGCAGTAAATTGCCCCTCCCCCAAAAAAGGGTCTTTCTAAATCAAATTTCACCCATTGCAGACATGCATGCGTTCACTGTACAGATGCTCACCAGAGACTCACTTAAGTGGGTATGCAGCATCCGGTACAGAGTTTCGGCAAAACGGCCGCACCGGAGCTGTAACATGAAAGTGTTACTATCCGCTCACCTATGAGCGACCCGTTCAGGAAGAGCGCCACACCAATCAGCGTCCCGATGCACAAGGCCAGGATGAAAGGCCTGCGGCGGCCAAAGCGCAGGGAACAGCGGGCGGCGGCGGAGCCGATCAGCGGGGGGAATATGAGGGCCCGCACGGGGCTGATTCGTGTTTCTCAGGCGACGGAGAGACACAAGTCATAAACAGGGCTTGAACCCTGCCACCACGGCGACCAGGTCTTGGGAACCCCGTCGCCACGGAGACTCCATCATCATAGGCTTCCTGGCTCCCGCGACTACGGCGACGTAACTCACGCGGGGCTTCCTGTTGTGCGCTTTGGAAAACTTTCCCTCGTTCTTTCTTTTGTCTCACAAACACTGACACATGCGCGCGCACACAATGACGCAGTGCATTTCTACGCCACCATTTAACAAGCTTTCACATGGCCCCAGCAGAAATGGGAATGTATTTATTAATTTATGGCAAGGAATTATTGGTTCACTGATTTATTGTAAATAAACAAGTTTATATGTACATTGCGAATAATGTCATAAAACAAACGATTGTATGCATACAACTGCTTATGTAATCAAACTATTGGTTGATTCATTAGAGTGAAATGAATTATAATACCACTTCTTTAAAGTGAGAATTGCTTTTTTAAAATAAAAATGGATCAATGCACATTCATTCATTCATTTTCTGAACCGCTTGATCCTCACTAGGGTCGCGGGGGGCGCTGGAGCCTATCCCAGCCGTCTTCGGGCAGTAGGCGGGGGACACCCTGAATTGGCTGCCAGCCAATCGCAGGGCACACAGAGACGAACAACCATCCACGCTCACATTCACACCTAGGGACAATTTAGAGTGTTCAATCAGCCTACCACGCATGTTTTTGGAATGTGGGAGGAAACCGGAGTACCCGGAGAAAACCCACGCAGGCCCGGGGAGAACATGCAAACTCCACACAGGGAGGCCGGAGCTGGATTCGAACCCGGCACCTCTGCACTGTGAAGTCGACGTGCTAACCACTGGACTACCGAGCCGCCATTCAATGCACATTTGTTGTTAAATTTGTTTTCATAAAAAAATGGATATTTAATTATAATTAATTCATTTATAGCATTTTGAGAATTCTAAAAATACACATGCATTTGACAGTTTTACTCGTTTTAGTACATTTTCTGGCAATGTATTGTAACTAATATAAAGAAATACACATACTTATTTATTTCCTTATTAATTATTCATTATAACTAAATTATAACACCTTTTAAAGACAAGAACAAATGTGATTGAAATAAACAGTGAAATGAATTATAATACCACTTCTTCAAAGTGAGAATTGCTTTTGTTAAAATAAAAATGGATCAATGCACATTTGTTGTTAAAATTGTTTTAATAAAAAAATGGATATTTAATTATAATTAATTCATTTATAGCATTTTGAGAATTCTAAAAATACACATGCATTTGACAGTTTTACTCGTTTTAGTACATTTTCTGGCAATGTATTGTAACTAATATAAAGAAATACAGTTATTTATTCCCTTATTAATTAGCCGTTATAATTAATTTATAATGCCTTTTAAAGACAAGAACAAATGTGATTGAAATAAAAATATTTACCAATATTTGTTATTAAATTATTGTTTAGTTTATTTGCAATAAAAATGAAAGTCCAATTTTAAGAA